ATTCATTTTGAATCAGTTGAATAAGCACAAGAAGCTTGAACAAAATGCCAGCACACAAAACCGCTGCTCCTGCTCTCACTCATCCTGTTACTTTTAAACCGACAAATATAATAATTCTATGAAGCAGGAATCTTGTCAGCACATAAATTAGATGAGCTCAAACAGGTATAACACATAAAACAAAGCCTAACCCATCCTTCTATCAACAAAAAGGGTTGTAGCCTCTAGGGAAAAAGAGAAAGATGGGCTGCCCAAGCACAAGGCTATTAACATGATCAGATGAGTCATGTATCATCAGTTTACTGGAACATAAAAAAAAACTTGCAGTTTTGGAAAGGATTATATTGTAAATGTTGAAGAGGAAGCTTCTGCAGTGAATTGGTTAAATTAAGAGATGCAACTTCCTAAATTTAAAATTCTCTCATCTTCTCTCAGTTCAGGATGACATTTATGATTTTTGGTTTAACAGAAACATGTTCCCTAACTACATTTAGGAAAATAAAATCTTATCTCAGGACATGAATTTAACGACCATGTTAACTTGACAACAAACACTCTAAATTGGTCCCTTTGTATTTCCTGTTGGAATGTTTTGTATGTGAATGACATCGGCTGACATTAAGTAAACATGGACCCAAGCTGTTGCCTAGCAATGCAATTACAGTTAAACTTTCTGTAACAGAACCGCCCTAACTTAGGGATTTCCCAAGTTGAATGAATCCGCTTTTACGTCTGGAACCTCCTGTCTGCGATAGGCTTGAGACAAACCCTCGCTGTGGACTTGGCCCAGAAGTCAGGAATCCTAAAAAAGACTGACCTTGTCCTAAATTCAGAATAACTGCTAAAAATGTCAGTAGCACTGTTGTAGGGTCTGTATGGCCATGACAATGAAGATGGGGAACAATATGAAAACCAAAATGTAATGACTGAAAGGTTGCTCAGACCGTATGATTAAATTTCCCAGACCATGTATTAATGGATACATTGACCACTAACATGATTAATAATTAGAATAATATTTTGGAATTTGATCAACCACATCATTTGACAAAAGTAAGAAATTCGGCTCAATAATAATAACTGTGAAGGTTCATGAAAAAAAAAAAACAGTTGTTTTTTGCTGGTCACCATTATCAGCTTAAGCATGTTTACATTGCATAAATTAGCCTAGCAGCTAGCAGAGTTTTCCTCTACTCGTAGCCTAACAAAGTACATGTATTATTTGTACTTTAACATCATCTCTCCACAGAACAGCTCTGTTGAAATTCAACCCGCAAGCATATTTTTTCAGCCTGACATTGTTGAACAGAGCAGCTAAAGATGCTGTGTTGCTGCTAGAAGTTAGCAGAGTGAAATGCCTGACCAGACAGGTGCGTCCTGTTTAACTCATAACGGCATTGTTTACATGAGCCATTTGTTTTGTCTGTTGACCCATATTTTCCAAATATAAAATATTTCCCCACTGCAGATTTATTCCTGAGTAAATAACATTATCCTCATTGTCTGTTTCTTGGCTGCTCACCATTATCTGCCTGATGCTGTTGATGGTGACACAGAATTTCAAATTAGAGGTGTATCCTAAATATGATGATATGGATGGATGTTTTCACTTGGCATCGATGATATTGCATCGTTGATCATTGAATAGATACATCAATCCAGACTGCTGATTCGTTAAACTCCTAGTGATTATTTTAGCAACTGATCATTAACATCTAAATTGGACTGATGCTCATTCATGCATTCATTTGTCAGGCACTGACTGTGATGAAGGAACTTATGATGAATGAAGGTGGGTAGGATTCTGAAAAAGAAAAATAATGGGTTGAGCTGAAGGCCATTAGCAGGTACTGCCCCAGAGGTTTAGGGCCTGAGCAGTGTATCCATCTCTTAATCACCTCTTAGCACTGAGCCCCTAAGTAGGTGATATGGAGAAGGCCATTTCACCACATATTGCACTAGGACAGTGAAATGGATGGTGTTCTTTACTAAGGGTGCGAATACTCTGCAATTATAGCCCACTTCTACTGGATGGTCGTAAACAGCATTTAGTCTGTTTGTTGACGTTTCGCATAAATCATGCTATTGTAGAGCTGAGAAAGAATAGCACATGTGTGGGTATTTGGCATAAAAGAGGTGCTCCATTACTGTGGAAATAATCAACTTTATAGCTCTGTGTGAGTAAGAGACGTAGTGCAGCCGTGTAGGCGCAGCAAATGGGACTGAGGCATGTGTTAACTCGGGGTGTAGCTGGACACGATAATTAACTGTGGGAATGTGGTGCATCTGTGCTATGAGTACCAAAAGAAGTGTCTCATTCTTCGGGAATAAGTGTGCTGTTGTTAGTTGGATAGTTCTCTGAGAGGCCGGGGCTGCATGAGCAGCTCATGAACTATATGGAGTGGATTCCACAGCCATGTTTGTGTATGTTCATGGGATTTAATGAGGGCTTTACTGGTGCGGTGAGTCACTGGCTGATGACGGAAGTGCAGCACCCTCCCAATTACAGGGTGTCAGGTTGCTATTTAGATTGAAACCACTACCGGAGAGAATAAACACTACATTTTCATTATTGATCCAAAGCGGCGGGCCTTGAATTTCTTTCTTGGTCAGCTAATTTTAAAGAAATATTTCATCCATCATGTGTGTCAGTGAGGGCTGTAATTGGGCACAAGTATTTGTCTTTCAGTCATATGTTGACAGCCGGCCAGCTGTTTAAATAGCATCTACACAAAACCGCTTCAGCATCCCCTCAATTCTTGAAGAAAGCCTGTGGTTTTTCCTGGTTACTCATGTCGTTGTGCTGTAGTTAACTCTGTATCATCCACCACAGCCCTGCAGTCGCACTGATGACAGAAAAATAGGCACCAGCCCTGTTCCTTATCCCTGACTCAGATTGTCTTTGACCTCATTTCAGTTTCTGTGGAAAGAGTATATGAATCAGGGTTCAAATGTCAGTTAACGCCAAAATGTCACACTTACATTAAGTAGTCTGCTATGTGATGGCTCTGCTTTGATTTGAAGTAATACAATTCAATTGTAAGTGAGGACTGATTTTGATTTGTTAAAAGAGCTGTCAAATCAGTGTTTTATGCTTTAGGTTATCTGCCAATCATCAACATTAATAATGATAATTCAGAGTATTTACCAATCCCAGTTGGATTTGGAATCAATCAGATAAAAATGTGTAGATGTAGAGATAGGTACATGGTGCATTTCACATCATTCCTAAAATTTAGAACACAATTAAATGACAAACTTGTAAGCACAAATCGAGCAGTTATGGAGCAACATTAGCATTCATTTGGATTTGTGTTCCAGTCCACCTGGTGAATTTTAGGCCAATGTTCACCCTCTTTTATCTCTATTTTTAGTCTCTACCAACTCCTGAGGGAAATATCTGGCTCTTCAGCTGCTAAATGCTCCACTGTGTTCACCAGCCAGCTGCCAACTGTGCATGTCTGCTGTTTGGTACTGAGCAGGTAGTGCACAGTTGGTTTTTAGAGCTTTTTCATTCAAGAGTTGCCCACTGTGGCTGAAAATAACGCTTTGAGAGTGGTGAGATTGAACCAAGCAGTAAAGTTAGTGGTCAGACAACTACACAGTGAGTTAAATACCACTCAAAATCCACAAGCATATCTAAGGTAAGGCACACACATGCACATAACTACAGAAAATGTGTTGTGTGCAGGGCTGCTAATTCACATGCATTAACAGTGAGACTAATGCAAATGACGTGTCACATGCCCTCACACCACACGACTGATTTATCATGCAGTGAAAAACGATTTTTGAACTGATAACATCGCAGTGTGACACTGACAGCGCATGGACTGAAAGCAGCAGACCAGTCCTCATCAAAAAGGCTGCTGCTTGGATTTTGAAGCGCGTCTATTTGTGCTGTTACAATACTGTTATTTGGAGCGGCCAAAAAGGACGATCGTATTAGATTAAGTAAGTCTTGTTGAATCAGTGACATCACCAAAGAAGACCTCATGTGATAAAAACCGTTTCCATATTAAATAAGAGAGTGGTGGTCAAGAGAGCTAGTGAGGGAACAAGAGAGGATCAGTGACAAGAGCAGATGAGTGAAGAAGAGAAATAAAACTTTCTATGCGAATAGTTCATCGCTGTTACATTCTGAAGCAGAAATTAATAATCAAGCACTCAGCAGATTGTGTACTTTGGAGAGAGGCATGTGGAGTTTTAAATCTCCTTTTTCAACTCTTTAAGCCTTCTTTTGCGTCAATTCATAGCATCCACATATGGCTGCTCCCTTATTGTCAGTCGAGAAACTTTATCTCAAATCTCACTTTGTCAGTTAAATTAGTGCTTCCTTAGTTTATTAGTTGCATCATTATACATAGAACAACACAGGATAACAGCATGGCAGGCTATACTTTTACAAACTGAGTCTTTTCCCAGAATTACCTAACATCAAAACTAACTTGAATGTAAATAGGGGATATTGATGGAAATGAAGATAACGCGAGCAGCGCGACAGGATAGCTATGTGTTGTTTGCCTCGGAAATGCAAACAGGAAAGGGCAGAGGGGTCTTTTTAGTTCCTGTGGTTCCACAGTTCCTGGAAGTGTTTGGTTGAAAAGGGCTGTGATGAGAGAAGGCAGAGTTGTCTTGTCTGACAGTCCCCGGAGCAAAAGGACTGTGAAGGTGTGGCATGTGAAGGACTGTTCCCAGAGACACACTGACGTCAGTGGAACACAGCTACCAGCAGGTTTGCAGCAAACATAGAGGTAGCTTGAAGTGCAGCGTGATGAAGGCAGCAATAAGGGCAAAGTGCATGTTTGTTTTTCAGATAGGCCATGTTTATGGTTAAGTATTTATGGTTTTGTGTTTTGGCACTTTACAGGCACCAGCTGGTTTATGTCTAGTATCACAGTTTTATTTTACTTTTGCTTTCTTTCCAAAGTCTCAAGTGATGAAGAGCAGATTTCTCGCTCTCAGCTTTGTTTTCTTTTGTGTGTGTCTCCTTCTGTCAGCAGTCAGCAATAGAAAGGCTCCTCCTCCAGTCCCACCCCGCACCACATCCAAGCCCCTCATCTCAGTGACGGTGCAGAGCAGCACAGAGTCAGCCCAAGACACATACCTTGACCAGCAGGACCGTGGCAGTGAGGCCAACAGCCAGTCAGGCCGCAGCAACTCCTCTGACAGTCTCTGTAGCATCCGCACGGGCAGTTTGGCTAAGGGGACTCGACCTCCACCAGTCCCTGTCCCTGCTGCAGCTCCTGCACCCGCTGTAGGCTCTGTGCATCCTGTTCCAGCCCCTCGTGACCTCCCTCCCACCACCGCCAACACTGTCACCACTACTACTACTTCCACATCTACTCAGTCCCAAAATGACACCCTGAGCGTTAGTATCACCGTAGAGCAGCCCCCGACTGCAACCAAGAGGAAACTGTCCTCTATTGGAATTCAGGTACGAATTTTCTGCTTTTCATTAATGATACAGTCGTAGTGGAAGGAGCCACATTCACGGTTGTATGTGACGGTTTTGTTTTTGTCTGTGACGTTTCAGGTGGATTGCATTTTGCCAGTCTTGAGAGAAGAACCACTACCCCTGACTGCCCCCCTTAAGTTTCAGTCAATTGGAGTTCAAGTGGAGAACGGCAGGCCGTAAGTGTACACTCACATGTGGTAGGATAATGAAGAGGTTGTTTAGATCAAAACAAAATGAAAATCTTTTTAAAGGTACATTTCACTTTAATGAGAATGAAGCTTTTTGCTCGCAGTTTTTGCTTTGTGACGCACCTCGCGTTTCTGCGCTCTAAGCGCCTGCCGTTTTTGTTGGAGTGTTCTGAATGCCTCAAGTTGAAAAAACTTCAACTCAGAGCAGAAAAACGCCTCACATCATCTCCGCCTTCTCCCCATTGTCCAATCGGATGATTTGAGAGGCAGGCCTTCTGTGGTGGTCATGACAACAGGTTTACAGCTGGCAGCAATAGAGGAGAAACTGGTGGTAGTGAATGCTGGATACCCAGAGCTATACGGCCCGACGATAGACAGCAGGTTGCCAAACAGCCCTTGAGTCATCCTAAAATATGCTTGGAAATGGCCATTATGGAGGTGAAGCTCCTGGACCAACGGGTAGTACTCCCCGTGATCCACCCTCTTCTTTAGGGTCTCATGTACCCACACAGATCTCTGTTCCCCTGTGCCCAACAAACTATTTACAGACAGCCTCTCACCCTCAACCAGAGCTACAGCAAGTACCCTCTGCCTCAACATTTTGGGGACTAGATACTAATTACTGTCAAATAAATACAATAAATAAACAGTACGTTGATTACACGAAATGTTAGGAAGTGATGGGGTGGTTGCCTGGCAACAATAAAAAGGCACAGCAGGCATTTTTTTCACTAGTGGCATTCAGTTAGAGGAAAAAAAAAAAAGAAAAGAAGGCAGTGCGGCGAGCCTCAGGTTTGCAGCCTGCAAACCGCTTCCTGTGTGATCAGGGCCTTAGAGATTAAACATGGATGTTACTGTTGCTTGATTTAAAAATGTTTTAAAAATCGGCTTTGCAAATTTTTAATTAAAAAAGGAAATGCATTTAACATGTTTGTTAGAACTCAAGGATACACACAGTATGTTTTGGTCAGTAACTCTGAACCTAAATGAAACCTTTATGTAGAAATGCCCACACTGATCAACCGCTGATCGTTATAGGGTGATATTCAGTGAAAATATGCGATGGGGATTAATGCTTTCTACTTGCAGAGGGGGGCGGTGGTTTGGGGGGTGGATTATCAGCGACTACTACTCAGCTCTCCCACGTGTGTTGTATTTATTTATAGGTACTCTTTAGGTACTCTGTTGTGCTAATACTTACATTACATTACAACTGAACTCCCACTTCTGCAGCGTGCGGCATCCTCTTACCTGCCCCACGCCACATATCCACACACCTCTGGGTCTGTGTGCACAATGCAACAGGAGGGAGAGAGAGGTCACAGTTCATACTTTAGTTGTTTTTCTACAAACTGTCATATAATACTGTTGTACCATCCTTTATAACAAATAAATGGGCAGATATGGATCTTTCAGTATCGGCAGCGAAAGAACATGATAAGGGCATTCCTACTTTTATTTATTTACAACAAAGCTCAACAGGGTGCCTGCCTTTATTATTGTGACAATTATTTTAACCCCACTGCTCAGCCCTAGACCTCCTGTCTGCTGTAGCTCTTCTCCTGCTTTTCCCTCCATAACTGCACACACTCACTCACTCACACTGTCACTCTGTCTTTCACCCATGTGGCTGGTGAATCTGCAGTCTGTGCAGCAGACGCTGCTAAGGTCATTCAGCAGTCAGCCTGGCAGCAGCACAGCAGCCCAGGGCTCTGATTGATGTCCTTTTGCTCTTGTTTTGACTGTAGTGAGCTGAACATAGTGAGAAACGCGCCATTTAAACTTTTCCAGTGCACTGTAATTTCCCTTAATCACATTTTGTTTGACAGCTTGCTTCCTTTTGTCCTGCTCATTATCTCTGAAACAGCAGTTTGCCAAGCTTTTATGTTGTATACCTGATTTGTTCCTAATTCGCTCCCTGCTTACCATCCCCGATACGGCGTGTTTCCTGACTCTTTGTGCTCCTGTGCGATACATGGTACTGCACCATCAGCAGCCGTAATGGCCTGCCAGTTAAGCTCACTGACCCCAAACTGTTACTGTGGAACATGTTTGACACATCACTACATGGTCTTATTTATTTAATTGTCTGTCAGAAACTGATGTTTATGCATGTCTCTGCAGTCTCAGCCGGGACAGCAGCATGGCGTCCAGACAAAATACAGAGTGCGAGCCTCAGGAGCCCCAGGATGCCGCGCCCACAGAAAACAACACAGCCAACTGCACCAACAGTCAAACAGTGAATGCCAGCGCACCCAACGGACAGGACAAAGCCATGGAACAGCAGCCCCTTAAAAACAGCTCAGCCCCATCCAGGATATCCACCTCGCCCCTCGAGACCCTGGATCCGGCATTAGACCCCTCCTCGCTGCCACCGCCAGATCCCAGCCTGGAGACCGCAAATTGCAGCTCCCACGGAGATGCTGTTCAGCCCAGCACGCCAGCTTGCCTCCGAGACGGGAACTGGTTTCTGAAGCTGCTGCAGGCGGAAACAGGGCGCATGGAGGGCTGGTGTCAACAGATGGAGCAGGAGACCAAAGACAACAAGCTGTCAGAGGATGGTAAGTGACCGAAAACAAAACATTAAAGCCTCATTTACACTTGGCATTTTAGTCTTGTATCCTGATAAAATGTAGATAATATTTGAGAATCTTTATTAACACTTAATAGGGCATTTTAAGTAACTTAGAGTACTGGCATTATATTATTATAGTAGTGTGTGAGAGAAAATTTAATGCAAGAATACTAATGTAAATGGATCAACAACAGAAAACAGGTGCAATTTTAAATTCTATTAAACCATAAATTCAAAGTTAACACAAGAAAAATCACCAAACTTTCTGTTGCTGCCTTACATTGTTTAAACAGTCGCTCTGCTCCCATTTAGTTCAATGTCTGCTTGGTTTGCATGAGCTAACACAGCAGCAGTGGCTAACATCAGACACATGGCTGCCAAAATGGCTTGACTCTGTCATTACACTTGTTAGTAACCATTAGGTAATGTAGCCATGTGATGCTAACGGTTAGCTCTGTCACTGTATGTGTGCGGTTGGACTCTCACCAACTGTTACCTGGAGTAGAAGTCACACTGTCACTGCAATAGTCTCATGATAGCCAGAGAGAGAGCAACGGCAGGGCAAGAAGGCACTGATCAAAGCAATACTCTACACACAGCTCTCCAATGAAATAAGATTTTACTTATTTTGAATAGTAAAAAAAATAAATAAATATAATAGTCAGGTTCACGTGTGGGAGGTTTGGCGGCGATTACTCTTTATATTGAACAAATACTGACGTCGAAATCCAGCACTTGCCAAGGGTTGTGAGGATATACCGGTATTGATGATAACCATCATACTTAAAAAATGAAATACTGATATCATGTTCATAATACACATGTGATAATATTGTGTAAAAACAATTTCTTGCTTTGTCTCCCTCCCTTAACACCATCTGGTGGCCTTTTTACTATCCATCTAGTGTAATAGCTCTTTTCAATTTTGCACATTTGTGGTTACAGACTCTCTCCACCTCCCGCTACACTTGTATTTTGAGTGTAATTCATTTGCCAAAAAAGAGACAAAATGCACAACAAACAAAATTCAAGATGAATTTGATTGATAGCTTTTTTCCTATATTTTCTATAGATATCGCTACAAGGGGCCGTACACATGTTGCGTCTTTATCCGCCTGGAAATTGCAAGGTCGTGCCCTTGGTGATACTTTTGTGCCTTTTGTCAGCCAGCTTTCAAGAGCACGGCGGCAGGTTGCGTCTAAGGTTGCTAAGCAACCCTATCAAGCACCTTATCATAGCCTGTTAACCTGAGTGCAGAGCTGATCTTCTTCAAGGCACTGTTTATAAGTGTGTGGGCCTATCGTTCATGGGACAGATGTGAAGCTCTGGCAGCCCTGCACCAAAATGATCAACTTTTCCATATTTACCACAGATATGATATTTACGGAAGAAGGAAAAGATATCTGTCAGTTATGATTGGTTGGTCCTCGTCACATGACATGCGGTGCGCGCTGCTGCATTCCAAAAGTTGAACTCAGTTTATCTCAGGGTGCAGCCGTCACGCCCTGAAAAATAGGCACTCAGGAATGCGTGTTTACCGCGACGGCATCACTCTGGCGTTTAAGCACGCCTGCTGGGCGTCTACATTAAAAACAATGAATTTGAGGGCGCAAAAAACTCTCAATGTGTACAACCCCTAATGGCATTATCATGAACTTTTGTGGCTGCAATAATGGTGTAGTGAAAATATGATATCGTGCCAGCTCTCATTTATCCATCCCTAACAGCAGTGCCATACAGTAAATGCAGCTCTGTTGGCCAGATCAGAAATCTGATAGCATTTCATCTTTGATTTCCTGAGCTATATGCAAATCAGAGTCACCCATACTCCAGTTCAGATTGTGGTGGTAAGAGAAGAATAAGGTTTTTTTAAAAAGCATCTTTGTTGATGAGACTCCACAGAGGTCTTTACAGTAAAAGACAAAAGAAAGATGTAAAATAGAACCACAATATAAACATAATAGACAAAGTACAGTAAATAGCTTGTTGAGTCTGTAACATGAAGAATTTAATTGATGTCCCTGTTAGTCCACAGACAGGGGGTTAGCTCAGGCCTCATCCATGCTGACCGTGGACAGTGAGCCACAGTCTCGACACAGTCATTACTGCCATCGACTCACAGTAGCGCTGCTCATTGGAGGGAGAGTACACTTTGTTTTAGCTGTGACGGAGCAACCGCAGAGTCATTTCAGTTTTTCATCTCCCAGAATACCACTCAGGCTTTTAGGCAGATCTATCTCTGCAGTGTCTTAAATATGAATGAGCAAGGAGCAGACTAGATGTTGAGGCTTCGTCAGATTATCATTCCTTCTGCTCTCTGCAGACCTGAATTATGAATTTCCATTTACATGCAAATATTAGAGGCGGAAAATAGCTGAATAAAGAGTAATTTGTTATCCTCCCCAAGATTGAGTTAATATATTACCTCTAAGAAAATCATTTACTGTCACAGAATGTTAATTTTAAATGTTAAGATAAATATTTCATTACTAGACAACAGGAATAAACCACATAGTCGCTCCCTCTTATATCTTGATGCAGCTCTCCTTGTCTGGATCTCAAAGTAGCTGCCTTTTTACATCCTTTTTGTAGAGTTACGTATCTTTTTTGGGCTCAAAATATTTCTAACTCCTCACATCTTGTTGATGATTTATCACATTCTTCTCTTTCAGTGTTGGGAACGATCCGCAGTGCAGTCGGCAGTGCTCAGCTCCTCATAACACAGAAGTTCGAGCAGTTCAGAGGGCTCTGTAATGAGAACTTGGTGAGTGGTTTCATTACATCCTATTGATTCTCTCTCTTGAAATGCTACCCCACTAACTACATGTTTGTGTTAGCCTCCTAAACTCTTACTGACCCAGTTATCTTTCATCTGTCTCCTGCCATAATCATTTGTCCTGCACACACTGACATGCAGAAGCCTTCCTGTTACACTACATGTAGAGAGGACGTGATCTTTTTTTAGGCAGAACCATGACATTTTTGAGGATTTATCTTGTCAGATTTACTGTGATAGATTTTTGTTCACTTATCTTACTTGACTTTATTGTCTAGCTGTTCCTCCCTGCAAGATTTTCTCTGTTACAGTGTTGAAATTTAATGATCTCTGCAGGTTGATTGGTGTCAAATTTAATTTCTCCTTATCCATTTGCTTGAAGGGAGGCTGCTGAGGAAATGTGTGTGGGGTTAAATGCGATTAAATCTCTCTGATTTGACCACTTTTCTGTACCGTCTCGTTTTCCCCTCACTAGAACGTAAATGCCGACCCACGACCAACAGCACAGGACCTCGCAGGGTTCTGGGATCTGCTACAACTCTCAATAGAAGACATCAGCATGAAGTTTGATGAGCTCTACCAACTGAAAGCCAACAACTGGCAACTTCCTGAGAAATCAGAGAAGAAGGTGATGATTGGTGCCAGACAGTTTTAATTATACTGAAGGTTTTTAGAGTAGAGAAGTAACTTGAATAGAGTTGTTTTCGATTTTGTATCATTGTAAATTAGTCATCTTTTAAGGATTTGAACTGTTTGTCCGATGAAACAAGCTATTTGATGCTGTCAACTTTAGCTGGGAGATAAAAAAGACAGTTTTTGATATTTTTCATAGACGAAGTGACTAATCGAGAAAATAATCAGCAAATAAATCAATAATGAAAAGCGTTTATAGTCCTAAAATCAAACTTTGGGGAGTTAAACTTTACACTGACTTGATAATCGAAGGGTAACTTTGACATTTTTTAAACTGGACCCTTTTCTTACATGTTTTTGTGTCTAAGTCACTAATGGAAACAACAGTTTTTGAAACTGGTCCAGTATTGAGTAAGACAGCTGCAGTCGGCAGCAGCCATGTAATGTCACCAACAGGGGCATTTGTGCACCGTCAGTTTACACAGGTCTGACAACATTATCAAAAGGATCCCTACAGAGATAGACCTGTTTGTTACAAAGTAAGATCCTTTTTGTGTAACCAGAAACAGCCGTTATATTGCTCTAACCAGCAACCATTTAAATGAACATTAATTTTATCTTTGTATCTTTGTATCATCACACTCGAGGGACAGAAACAAAATATAACTCACAAAAGGCGTCTGGGTCCCTCTTTTTATTTATCCAACAATCACCAACTCTGGATTGGTCAAAATAAACCCTTAAATCACCCTGGTAGATGTAAAGATACTCTACAGTCTGTTTTTGATGTCCCATCTTCCTCTCGCTCCATATCTGATACTTTCACATCTAACTGGGCAAATTAAGGGTTTATTTAAACCAAACCAGTGTTGGTGATTGTTCCAACAGTGGAAAGACGAACAAAGATGGTTTTTGCGGGTTTTATTTTGTTTCCATCGACTTTGAAATACTGTTTATTTAAATGGAGTTAGGTGGGTTTGGCGTTAGTGATTTTGAGACTGTTTCTAGTTAAACGAAAAGGACTTTACTCTTCAAAAAAAGGTCTGTTTCTGTAGGGATCCTTTTCAATAGTTTGTCAGACACTTAAAATAACAATCTGAGCCTGTCAGTGGCAAAAACAAGCACTTTTAGTGCATGTAAATTGACAGTGCGCAGAAGGATTACATTGCAACCTATTTTGCAGCTGCCAGCTGTAGCGGTTTCGCTCAATAGTCCATTAGTCACCTAGACACAAAAACAGGGGAATATGGGGCTCATAGTTGGCATTTAATAGTTTACAAATGAGAGTTTATCAGCACCACTGGAAGTTGTGTTTTCATCTTGTACCACACCGTACCTTATCCCTTCTCCTTCTTGATGTGATCTCTTCAGGATGAAAACAAGCAGCTTCCATCATCTGTGCCAAAGAAGCAGACTAAACCCAAGCTGTCAGCAGGGAAGGAAAGGAGCGTGGACTCGGCCGTGGACAAACAGCGGCAAGAAGCCAGGAAACGTTTGATGGCAGCGAAGCGCGCGGCGTCAGTACGACAGAACTCCGCCACGGAAAGCGCTGACAGCATTGAAATCTACGTCCCCGAGGCCCAAACCCGTCTCTGAGAGCACCGATCATCAAGGAAAAACCCTGACTCACTTCAGACATTCATTGACACAAAAAAACACACAGACAGAACAGAGACGAACACACAAATGTACAACGGATGCACAGAGTCCGATCCCTCGTAGCAGCACAGCTGATGAAACGCGGGGGATCACAGGGCACCGAAACAATCCAGAATAATGCAGATCATCACCCTGCTGCCATGGGACAAAAATAACCTTGACAGATGTTTAATACTATTGTTATTATTGTTATTATTGACATTATAATAATTATTATCTCCTAAAGTATATCAGGACTGTCTTAAATGTGCAAGTATCTTGGATAAGGACATCCTGTACCTTGTGAGCTGAAGAATCTTGGTATCCCAGAAGTTTACTCTCTTAAAAACTCCCTTCACTGCTGAGTCTACCGGCAAGTTGTGGCTGCCTGGTTTACGAGCTGAGCTACCATCCACACACACTCAGGACACACATGCAGGTGTACTCACTGTCCACAGAGTCTTCCTGTTCTCTATTTGTATTAGGCTGCCACTCGTCGGGTGTGGCGTGCACGCTTTACCCTGTGCGCATCATGAGATGGTGTTAATGTACTCAGAGGTTTAAAAATGCAGAGAACCAGAGGAAGGCAGTAGCATATATATTATAAATATCACACTATTACAATGTTCATTTTGTAAATGTTGTATACCAGATTATTTGTTAGAAAGAGGTCAGTGTTCAGTACCAAGGTAGTTTTTTATAGATCGAGTACATGTACTGTCATGATATATTAGCACTTGATGCAATCATTCACTCCACCTCTCTCTATCTCTCCTCTTCACAAACGCACACTACACAGTCTGTGTCTGTGAACACCCATCGTTAGTCTTACATTTGTTTAGTTTTTTTTTTTTTTTTTGTTTTTTTTCTCTCGTGAAGGGATGTGAGGAATGACTGTCCTGCCGGTGAGCTACAGAGGAATGTATGAACTCGTATGCATTTACAGCTCATGTTCGACTTGATCACTGCACTTTTTTTCCCATTCACCTCGGATCAAGTTTGCTCACCTTCGTTTGCCTAAATCATTCAGACTTTCACTGCATCCGCACACGATGTAGGGGACCAAGACATTCACCACTCGATAAAGGCATTCCCATTCAACCAGACGACGTGTGATAGGGTAGGGGTTTACGTGCCACTGGAAACGAAATGGAATAGCATAGCAATAATAAAAATCGTACAAGAGCGAGCAATGCAGTAGGTACCCAGTCTTAAATTATTTAACATTTCCAATAAAACTTTCTTAGCATGAAGGATGAATGTTTATTTCTTGTATGAACTGACTGCCCTTGAAATGATTAAAATCTCAGGTTGAATGCAAACTCAACAGTAGAAAACCACTATGGATGGATTATTTATTGTATAACCACAAATTAACTGACCCAGTGCTCAGAGCCATCGACCAATATTTTAAATCCAGACCTATTAAACAAGAAAAGGTTTGGTGCAGTGAAGTAAAGGCTTAATTTGACTGCTGATATCGGCAGTCGTTGCCCTTTCTAGCAGCTTGAACTCCCACCCATTTGTTGAGGATGAACTGTGGTACATTATTTTTTAATTTAAATTTTACTGTCATTGACACGTTAGAGGTCGACCTAAACATGTCTTGACTTCTGTAATTATAATAATCAATGGTGCTGCGAGGGACTAAATATTGTGCCAAGACGGCAACGATCACCAACATTTCAGTGTCATTTGATGAAGCTTTTATTTAAAGTGATTTCTTTTTTATTTTATTTAATCTGCTCATAAATTGTCTGTGTGCGCATTCTCAGCCAAGTTTGTGTTTGCATCACTCCAGATATACGCTATGCCTCGTCTCTGTCTCAGCTCGTGACGCTTTGAGTGTGGGACTGAAATAATCTCCATGTTTCTCAAATGGAAACACAAGTGCCAAAGGGTACATGAGTGGAAACTAGGCATAGCAGATACTTGTGCACAAGTGTAGGTTGACTCACTAGGTTTTTGTTTTCTCTGTGGTGGTGTTGTGTTTTTTAAGTAAGAGCTGGCTCTCCCCCTACTGGTCAGTCCTTGCATGACACTCCAGACATCTTGTCCTGCTCCATTTTGAATCTTTTAGTTAACATCACACGAGAAATGACGTTGAACTGGGAATGCTGACACGACACCAAGTTGTTGATTTTCTTATTCTCTTGTTTGTATTACATCAACAATGGACATGTGCATTTCATTGTCCAAAGAAATCATTAAACATCCCTTTGCTACATGTCCTGGTCATCATTCTTGCTGTCGTTTTTTTAATAGCACTCATCCATGACACACTGGTAATATTAGCTGCTGAGTTAATATTACACACAGATAAATCATAATAAGCATTAGATTAGACCTTTCTATCGTTACTGTGTAATCTCTAAAAAGCATGGCCTTCTGACATATAAAAATATACAAAGATCCTTGCCAGTGAATTTTCAGTACTCCTTTAAATGGGTCTTGCAAATGATCTGAAACTATTCTATCTGTGTGAGGCATTCAGGGTATGTACTGTACGTAGGAATTTATAACTGTGACTCACGGTGGAAAGTCCTTTTTTTCATATCATTTGAGAGCCGGATCCCTTTATTTGCCCACATACTGAACTTTAAGAGAGCATGACCTGATCAGGGATCTTCAGACGGTTTGTTTACCAGTACTTCCTGAGTTTTCAAAGGGCTACAAAATGGACAAACGATGACCAGAACTTTGGAGGCAGATTAATGTGGACGATCCAGCTAGGAAAATGAGCAAAAACTATGTAGTTCCAGATTATCTTGTACTGACGAACATTATTTTACAAAATAAGCACATATCTTACAGACGAAGGGGTTGTTTCATGTTATGGTGTATTAGTTAGACACTGTGAGGCTAGTTTCTTTTCAGAGAATAAAGACTTGTGATTGCAACGCGTTACGTGGCATATTTTCTGTATGAAATAAGATGTAGAATTAAAGAGGAATGCCACTCAGCTTTTTGGAATGCATGTATGTTTTTCCTCTGATATATAAACAGATTACCTCAATTCTATCAATTGTTGTTCTTGGATCTGGAGCAGAAAAAAATAGTGTCCAGAAAACCTTTCTCTGTGATCCCAAAGCAGTGTTTGTTCCTTTTTGTGCTCAGTTGTTTTCTTTGTTTTATAACTTAAAATAAAATGAGGGTCAGTAAAACACTTTCATTTGGTCCACTTAGTACGTGGTCACACAAATAATGCTCCTCCTAGCAAGGACCAGAAACATACAACACATTGAGACATGTACTAATTGACCAAAAATATGTGGACACCTCAATGCACATACTTTGTCTTGTAGGTCAGTGGTTCTTAAAGGTCCAGTATGTAAAATTTAGTGGCATCTAGGGGTGAGGATTGCACATTGCAACCAGCTGAAACTAGAATTCTTTCAGTGTTCATTGTTTGGGAGGTTTTTATCAGGAGCCAAATTATTCGTAAAGGTCTCTTCCTCTTTAAAACAAACAAATGGAGAATAAAAATCCTTAAAACACAGAATAAAGCTAGTTTATGTGTTTTTAAGTTACAACGTCAGGCCTTTGCACACTGATTCCGTTTTTTACAGATGCATTTATTTAATTGTCCTTTGAAAAAAATCGACAAGAGCCTTATCATGAAGGTAACACAGCCTTATTAAGTCTAAATGAGCTTATCAACATGACTCATAGGTCTAATCATTAATATGTTTTACCATCAGGTGGCTACTCTGCAGTAAGGTATTTATTTGGTACAGTGAAAGTAACTGCACAGTGTATTATTAAATTCAAAACTGTCCTCCAAGACTTTTCCTTTCTGGATTTGGAATCCACGGTTACATTCACTAAGGAGACTCAAGACATGCCACCGCTTTTGATGTTCAGCAAAATTTGGAGAAAAAGACACCAGGTCGTAGACGTCGCTTTGACTCACATTTTAGTTGAAGAAATGTTAAAACAAAAAAACATTTTTGTAGGCCTATAGGGTACACATTTTTACAATTGGATCTTGTAAGAATAACTTTAGGCCTACAACAATGATAAATGAAAACAGGTTGCCTACCCCTGCACTAGACCAACGCATAAGAGCCTTCATCTATGGACCTGACTTAGCTGCACACAATTTGGAATTTTAGCATCGATGTTCATTTCTCTTTGACAAAATGTTTGGTTTGTCTGTTCTGGGCTACTGTAGAAACATGGTGGTGCAACATGGTGGACTCTGTGGAAGAGGACCCTCTCCCTGTGTAGATATCAGCAGCTCATTCTAAGGTCACGAAAACATATTGATTCTTATTTTCAGGTGATTATACACTAAAGAAAATATATTGTATTCTCTTTCTACCAATATATCCCACTAAATGGGAATATAAAATATAGTTTATCAAACTTTCATTTACATTTTTATTGAACTCATTACAATATAATTATTTTAAGGAATTATTAATGACTGATATTTCTTAAATGAACATTTTAAAAACATCACACATACCCCCTGCAGTACTCCAAAGCACCCCTAGGGGTACCTATACCCACACCTGAGAGACACTGCTCCTGTTTGGGGAAGGCCCTCTCCTGTTTCAACATGACAGTGCTCCCACACTCAGACAAGGTCCATGAGGAAAAGTTTCGCTCAGTTTGGTGTGAAACAATTTAACTGGCCTATACACAGAGCCCCTGCTTTAACCCCCTGCAACAGAGTTCAGATTAATAGGAACACCAGCTCCTAGCCAGGCCTTATAACCATGCGTCACTCCAACTTCGCTGATTCTCTTGTCACTGAATAGAAGGAAATTCCTGTAGTCAGGGTACAACATGTTGTGGAGAGCCTTCCCAGCAGTGTGGAGTCTGTTAGAGCAGCACATTAATGTCCATTGTCTCCCATGTGTGTAATGTGCAGGTCGTCCACATACTTTGGGAAAAAACAGAGTCACCAGACTGAAAACGAATATATAAGCACAAAAGAGCTGTTGTCAAACAAACAATGCTCAGCTCATCCCGGCCCCTGTATTGCATCTTTCTACATTCCCTCCTCCACCCATACCTCACCTTGAAGGATCCCTCACTGTGATAACACGTAAGATGTTACCCTTCGCTACTCCAAGAATGCTGGAGGCTTTAAAACCATGACCAGTACTGGAGAGACACTAAACAGAAAAATGAGAGCAGCCACTTACAGCAGGACTCAGTATGTGGTAGTTTCTGTCTACATGGAGTCATATTTGTGGGAGTGATTTACAGGTAATGTGCCACAGGTTCACGACCTTTTGACATTGTCACATAAAGTGTGTATAACACTGGCTAAATTAGGGCAAACAGAACAATAGTGACTGAAGTAGCTTGACTTGAGAAAAAGTGTGACACTTTACTCCAGCTTACAGCAGGGGTTTCAGAAATGAGTGAGTACATAATTTACAATGTCGTCAAGAAAGGCGAGAGAAACAAGAGAGATTGGATTTACATGACAGGTTTTGGATTATAAAGAGATCTTTAAATCTCACAATGTCCTGTGAAAGTGACAACTTCCTTTCTAAACCTTATAATGCTTTAAAACATGATTAACACGCCATAAACTCTTTAAATTTAGTGGCATTCTCCTTTAATATGCAAAAGATGCCGTCACGCGGGCCCATCTCTTTGCGTCACAGCTACTGATCACAGCGCCTCCTGCAGGCTTCATGATGAATGAGCAACAGATACTCTTCATCAGATGCATCAAGTCAGCTGAAGATAACCAAAAGAAGACAGCCTTCAAAATAAAATCATGTCATTGATTTAAAATCATTTGACGCCATCAGTCAGTCAACGAGTATACTCACAGAATTAAAAAGTTATAATCAAAATCAGCATTTTATTGAACAGAATTGAAACTGTGATAAACACAAACCTTTTAAACATCAGAAAGCATGGTAACTTTTGTGTCGGGCTTAAGTACAATACTGAGGAACATGTACTTTACTTGAGTATGTTCATTTTATGCCACTTACTGCTATTCCACTAAATATGTTAAGGGAACTATTGCAATTTCTACCACACTATATTCGTCTGACAGCTGTAGTCACTAGGCACTTTCTAAGTTATGATTTTACATGCGAAACTTTATACAAAACAATAGTATATAAATTGTTTAAATTGGTCACCACCTTGAAATACTACTACTACTGCTGCTACTAGGAACACTTTTCGAAACAGTTAAAAAGTGTTTTACATGTCAATGATTAAAACAGACAAGACATGAAAACAACAACTTTTAAAAGAACTCATAAAAACACTCTGGAATATAAAAACTGAGGGGGGCAAACAGTTTAAATTAACTTAAAAATCAGGAAAGGCTCTCAGATAAAAGTATGATTTAAGAAGGGACTTAAAAGAGATCACTGACTCGGCCAACCTGACCTCAGGGCCCTGACAGCAAACACTGTCCTGTTAAGTTTTCAGCCAGGCCTCTGGAACAGACAAAAGACCTTTGACAAGGACCTCAAAGTACGTCCTGGCGTGCATGGTACTAAGAGATCAGAGATAAAGCTGGGAGAGAGACCATGAAGAACCTTAAAAGTCATCACTATCTTAAAATCTATTGTTAAACATACTGGGAGCCAGTGTAAAGAGGTTAAAACTGGAGTGATGTGTTCATGTCACTTTGCAGCTGAATTCTGTGCAGTCTGGAGTGTATGAATATATGATTTATTCAGGTAAGAAAAGAGGCTGTTGCAGTGATCCAGGCATGAGGAGATGAAGGTGTGTCAAATTGACCCTGTGTCTTTAAAAGGTAAAATGCATTGTATTTTTGAAATAAAAAAATCAAATAAATATTTCTAACATGATACGTGTTAGTGTAAAATGTGTATTTTTGCTTTAATTTAATACTTATTGGGTTTTTTAAAAGGAAAAAAAAAGTTTTCAAAGAAATATTTTATTTTGAAAACACCGGAAGCTGTGAGGTTGAACTTCCGGCAGGCACCGGGGAGGAGGAGCTAAAACATCCGAGGAGAAGGAGTCGTCTCCGGCGGCGGTGGAAGTCAATTGGTGGCAGCACCGGAACAAAGCAAATAACCGAATATAACCGGCACCTGCGGAACTGTGGTAAGGTTATTTAATTTATGTTTTCATCCCCGCTTTGTTTCAACGTCTTTTTCCGTCTTTTTAAACGACTCTTTTTCACGTAAAAGCAGAAGTGATGAAGTTGGCAGGCTAACCGTTGACGTTAGGTACAGTGTTAATGTATCAGACAGCTCTGCTGAATGTGACAGGATGATACACTCATACAACTTATAACACATCATTAGCTGGTACTTGTGGCCTGTACACCAGCCAAGCATCTCTAATTATACCTCTAACAGTGTAAGGGCAGGGGGAGGGGATGTGTGGAAATTAGTAATTACTTTAGGCTACAACTAACATAGTAATTAAAGGAAAATAATGCCGAATTACTCTGATACGAGTTAAATACAGCCTTCAGCAATTAGATGAACTGAGCAGAGCTGAAACTATCATTTAAATTATATTAATTTACTGATTTCATTTTGGATATTTGATGCTCTTCTGAGTCGTGTGATATTTAACTGAATATTTTGGTTTTGGACTATTGGTCACACTAAACATGACATTTTAACATGTCAGAGTGGGATGTGGGAAATTGTGGTGACCATTTTCTCTCTATTTTCTTACATTTAATGGCTCAAATCAGTTAAGTTACTAAATAGCCAACAGATTAACCGTTATTGAAAATGAGAAGTAGCTGCAGGCAGCCTTTGAACAAGAGAGCAAGCAGTTATTACAGTTTGCAAAGCTGTCACCAGCAAATGCTTTGATATGAAACAGTGTTGGAGTGTCATACTTGGAAGAGATGAACTTAAAATGTCCATTGACCAATGATTTGAGCACTGGTGGCTTTATATTTAGCTTATAAAATAGTCTGAAAGGGCTGCTCACTATGGAGAAATCAAATATCACAATATTTATTACCCAATATAGCGACACTGGATTGCAGTGATATTGTAGGTTTGACTATCAGTCCTTTCACCAAATATTTACTTAGTGAGATTTTTGATAAATAATCAGTGCTGTGGATATAGTGACTAAGTGGGTAAAGGCAAATAATAGAACAGCTACAACAGTCTGATAAGGTCGGAAAATCACATCACTTTACTATAATGCAGGCTTTACAAAAAGACAACTCTTACGATATGATATCAAAAATATATGAAGATATCTAGTCTTATATCATGATCAATATAATATCTATGTGTTGCCCAACCCTATTTAATTCTAATACTTTAATGTCCTGTTGTAATTGGCTTGTCAGTATCCTTCAAGGGTTTCTGTATGTATGTCGTCAGCATCCTAAAACGTATGACACTATCATTAATATCACCTTACATTGGATCTGAGCATCAGTTGGCATTTGACTGCACTGTACGCACACTTCGGCCTGCTGTATCAACAGGCAGCATTTCGCATGACACAGCAAAATCTCGTCCTCAACAGAGAGATGCTGAGCTCATCCTGCCAGTGACCAGAGCTCACCGTCCCCATACCAACCAAAACACAGCAGGATACAGACCAGACTCGCCATGGCTGCCAGGCAGCAGAGACCTGCAGCTGCTGCAGACGGCTCAGCAGAGGCCAGAAGGACAGACGTCAGGACCAATGAGAAGAAGTGCTGTGAGTGGTTTGTTTTTCCACTATGTGTGAAATGTTGACTCATTTCCTGAGGCTGTTCTGTAGTAACCACTGACCCCTGTGCACCACAGCTGTTACAATTACTTAATATAATGCAGCAGCAGCGTGCAGTGAATTGTCCTTTTAATCACATTTGCTGCTCTGTTGGCGGCAGGTAAAGAAAGGTGATACGGTTTCAGCAAGCACAGATTATTAAATGTCAACGCTGACACGCCTTCTGTCATTATTGGTATGTATACAGTGTGTGGGGGTATTTGCAGAGGCAGGTAATACAGCATGTACTGTACCTTTCTGACGCATGGTAATACTGCAGTGGGCAAGGTCAACATTCAGAGTCAGGAATAACGTCACTGAGCTCGGCTTAATTTTAATGTCACAGTCAGACTTCGAGGACTCTTTAATCAAGATTGTGGGATGAAGTAAGTATAGAAGTACCTCTTGAACACAAAACCTGCCCTCTGGGTCTTAAAATGTCAGTCACCCGCTCATAGAATCTCGAGTCAAGCCTTGTCTCGCCACGTCTTTTGTTTTGGTTTGTTTTCCCAGAATGAAGGATAGTCTTCCTTGGTCACTGAACAGAACGGAGAAAAAAAATTCTGTGAAGATATTTTCCATTTCTTGTTCCTGCTGACACGGTGGATTACCTAGCTGTGTTGCTAAGCAGCAGGACTTTGAGAAACATTAACCAGCCATCGAGAGATGACAATGGTATGACGGAAATGTTAATCTAAAATGTTAACCAGCAGCTAGAAGAACACTGCAGAGGTGACATTGGATTATTCCACAAGCCTTCCTCTCCCTGCCGTCAGGTTGTGTATACAGTAAGCATTGTCCGCCCTTTAACACAAATACTACGTTTTAGGGGCAAAAGGTAAAGTGAAAGTAAAAGTTCAACACTTAAAGGAATTTATCAGCCTGATTTACATCGAATTAATGAAGGAAAGTCAGTTTTCCTCACAGGCCTACACAGTGAGGGAAGAATCCAAAAACATAGAATCTTCTTGGTGAATTGGAGTAAAAGGCGGCCGTGTCTAAAAACAGCAAAACTATTTCAAAACATGCATTTGCACACTCTCACACAACTTCTAAGTCTCATTTATACGGTCGTTTGCTCAGTTCATCCCCAACACATGCATTTTTGTTAAAACCTCACTGCATACGCAGTCCGTACGCATACCAGTAGCGCGTCTGGACAAGCGTGTGCGTCTGAACTCTGCTCCTGCATTCCTCGACATGACATTCCACATGCGCTCACCCAAGCGCACAACTTGTCCCTGCCTGAGACTGTTAATGCCGAAGTTTTTTAAATACCAAGGTCCTGGCAAAAATACATGTGTTTGGGATGAATGAGCACTGGGTATATGAGACTGTTGTGTGACAGTGTAAACAGCAGAGGTGAAATGTAATAAAGTACATTTACTCAAGTACAACTTTGTAGTACTTTTACTTTGCTTGAGTATTTCTATCCTTTGCTTCTTAAAACTTTCACTCCACTACATTTTGGAGGCAAATGTTGCCCTTTAATACTCCATTTTAAATTAATTTAATGACTGACCCACCTGATGACCCCAATGAAGCTTTTACCCTCCCTGAACCTTCACCCCCTCCCCCCAGCATGGCTCTAACTTTCACTCACAATCCCAAGTATGTGCAACGACAATTGACCTTTTAAACTCCACCTTGATTTAACTTAGGGAAGTTTTTCAAAATGAGGGAGTTGGGGGAAGTCTAGTGTACAGCCCGGTTCGGCGAGGGAGAGTTCAGTCTGCACAGATGTCTCTCCTCGGCTCTGCCTTCCCTATGTTATCTCCTACTTTTCTAACTGTCTAACCTTAACCCTTTGGCTCCCACTCGGACACCTCCAGATGACACTGTTACTATCACTCATAGTTTCAAGTATGTGCATATGTGATTGTTAGTGTTGGGTACCGAAACTCAGTACTTTTTGTACTTGGTATCGATTCACGTCGATACTACCGAGTACCGATTCACTTAAAATGAAACGGTGCCAAATTTCGGTACCTGAGGTGGAGGCGGAGTGAGAGCGCATGACTTGCACCTCAGACTCAGCAACAATGGCAACAAAAACAATGTGCAGACAGAAGTTAATGTGCAGCAGTGTTCCTAAATGTTCTCAATAAAATGTTGAAACTGAGAAGTTTAGACTATGGGCCCGAACGACGCATAGTGCGTCCAAATTCACACCCGTTCTTCTCTGTGGATTTTCTCTGTGACCATGCGTCATAGCGAAAAGCCACGCATATCAGCGGAAACAGCAGAATTGTAGCTTTCCGACAAGAGTTTGAATGCTGGACCTTTACTTGTATCATAGTATTTTTGCTCTGTAGTGTTGATGCTTTTATTTAGTAAAATATCTGGATTCTTCTTCCCCTGCTGGTAAACAGATGTTATGATATAGTTTTGTTGTTGTTAAAGGCAGCCCCTTAACTTCAGTTTATAAAGAGTTTCTTCAGTTTTTGGATTCTTCTTTCACCGTGATGGCAATGGAAGAAAAATCGTACTCTTCATGAATTCAGCATAACATGGAGTGAGTTATAGATATACAAACTTCTCCAGACTACAGCAATAGTCTCCTCTAGGGTTCATCATCCAAAACTCTCAAGAAACTACTACATATCCAGAGTTCAGCTGCTCGTCTACTCACACACACTCGCACATGACCACATCACCCTCCGTCCTTAATAGCCCTCAACCTCCAGAGCAGGTTGTCCACCAACTACAAGATCGGCGGTTCAGTCCTCTGTTCCTCCGGTATGCATGCCGAAGTATCCTTGGGCAAGATACTGAACCCCAAATCCTGATGGGTGTTCCATCTGTGTGTGAGAGCATGTGAATGGTTACTGAGTTGCAGGTTGCACCATGTATGCTAGCTTTGGCCACCAGTGTGTGAATGTGTATGTGAATGGGCGAATGTGACGTGGTTGGAAGACTAGAAAGGCACTACACAAGTGCAGTCCATTTACCTTTTACCGCTGGCTCCCCATCCCCCAGCGTGTTCACTTCATCACATCCTTTAAATCCCTCTTTAACCTGGCCCCCACCCAACCTGTCTGAGCTCCTCCACTGGCACACTCCCTCCCACACTCTCAGGTCTGCTGATACCAACCTCCTGTCGCCACCGCCACCCCCACCCCCCAAATACATCAGAGACTCCCCCTCACTATCCATCCTCAAGAAATCCCTCAAAACACACCTCTGCCAGTGACCAAAAAAACTGCCTACAACCTCTAAAAAACTGTTTTCTTTCTGCATTGTTTCCCATCTTCTGGATTATTTTGTTTTTTTCTTTCGTTTTGTTGTTGTTCTTCTCTGTAAAGCATGTTTGAACATCCAGAAAAGCACTATATGAATCCAGTGTATTATTATTACTATTAAATGATCATTTTGTGGGTAGAGTTGTCCTTTGCCAGTTTTGAAGAAGATGAAGATCACAAAATGTCCTTGAATGCTTAATTAATAAAATCTCTGTTTGTGTGTATGTGTATGAACGGTGTGTGTGTTGTCTGTGTGTGTGTAAACTGCAGCTTGGGCCTCCTACATGACCAACATTCCAACTGTGATAGTGATGATTGGGTTGCCCGCCAGAGGGAAAACCTACATGTCCAAGAAGCTGACACGCTACCTCAACTGGATTGGAGTGCCAACTAAGGGTCAGTACATGTTTTGATTTTTAAGCAACATTCGATCTTTCCACAGTAAATCCAGCCAATAGAAAACGGGTTCAGATTGAGTTCAATGCCTCTGTGAGTCCTGTGAAATATCAGAGTGATGGTGAAATTAAAAATTGCTATTCTTGGAAGGAACACTTCAGAGTATTCAGTGCAGATGTGCCTCTGTAGGTGGCGTAAATCAGGGTGACACCATGATAAATGATACTTTTTATTAAGACTGAAATGGCATCCAGAGATTAAACCCTACTGAAAATCTTGTGCTTAAGGCAATGCTGTTTTAATTTGTAGTTATATTTATGTCACCACCCTCTGTCAGCTGGCTCTGTTTGTGCTTTTACACCTATGTTTTCACCTAAGTGGAACGCAGCAGGACTGGTTTGGCAGCATCGCTTTAGATGAATACCACCGCCTCAGAGCACAGACAGTAATCCTTTCCACTGCTTTTGCATGTTTTTTGACTTTGTCTCTTGTTTACTTTTCAGTATTTAACCTCGGAGTTTATAGGAGAGAAGCAGTGCAGTCATACAAGTCCTATGACTTCTTCAGACATGACAATAAAGAAGCAATGCAAATCAGAAAGTGAGTAAGAGTTTCTCTGCATGTTGACCACCTTTGGTGACATAGATTTACTCCTTTCCCACAATCGTCCCTCTGTATGTGTCAATTGTTGTGATTACTACACCCAATAAAAAAAAAACCCTGCTTACTTTGTTTTTTTGACTGCATCGTTTTTGTTTAACAAATGTAGCTACAATTATTACAGTACGTTATTTCTTAAAGACTTTGATTTCCTGATCGAGTTTTCTCATGTTTCCTCAGACAGTGTGCTCTGACGGCACTGCAGGATGTCAAGACCTACGTGAATGAGGAGGGAGGCCAGATCGCTGTAAGGACACACAAACGCCACAGTGCATCTGTCGATATTTAGAATCGTAATTTGAATATCTAATGTTGTCTGTCAGGTTTTTGATGCCACCAACACCACCAGAGAGAGACGAGAACTCATCCTTAATTTTGCAAAGGATAACTCATACAAGGTCAGATTTACACCATTACACAGACGGCACATTTTGACGAGTCATTAATTTCTAACGATAACTTCTTTTCTTAGGTGTTTTTCGTTGAATCGATATGTGACGATCCAGATGTCATCGCTACAAACATCCTGGTAAATGATGCTTTTATGCGTTTGAGCACAGTTTTGACCTTGAGCTGTTAAGATGTCACGGTGAATCATCTCTACAAATGTCTCTGTCATGAAGGATGTGAAGGTGTCCAGCCCAGATTATCCCGAGAGGAACAGAGAAAGCGTCATGGAGGATTTTCTGAAGAGAATAGAATGCTATAAAGTGACGTACCAACCTTTGGATCCGGACGAACACGACAAGTAAGAAGTCATTTTTGATCAGGGATGCTACGAGTTTTTGTGCATTTCTTTACTTTTTGCCTTGATACAGTTTAATTCTTGTCAACACTAGACGTCAGTGTCCTAAATAATTCCCTTGTGTTGGCCTTGTAGGTTATTTGGGTTCTGTGTTGGTAGATGTAGTTGCAGAAATTGTCCAGCAGGTGGAAACAGGAGCTAGTTTGTAAAACAGATGGTTCATGTGTCAGGTTATTTACTGTCATGTGCACAACACACAACACAAAATCTTAGATCTCAGGCTCCCTCCAACAACACTTTAAAAATATGTATAAAAAATAAAAACATACAAGTAAAAATGGTGCAGAAGTTAAAATATAGGTATAGATTATTGGAAATGTATATGCTTAATGAAAGTTATATGCTCAGTTGGTACTAAGGGGCCCAAAGTGTGCCAAGAAAATCTCCCCCACACCATTACACCACCACCAGCAGCCTGAACCCTTGATACAAGGCAGGATGGATCCATGCTTTCATGTTGTTTACACCAAATTCTGACCCTACCATCTGAATGTGGCAGCAGAAATCCAGACTCATCAGACCAGGCAACATTCATGTAGCCTCAGTTTCCTGTTGTTAGCTGACAGGAGTGGCACCTGGTGTGGTCTTCCGCTGCTGTAGCCCATCTGCTTCAAGGTTGGATGTGTTGTTGGTTCAGAGATGGTCTTCTGCAGACCTTGGTTGTAACCAGTGGTTATTTGAGTTCCTGTTGCCTTTCTATCATCTTGAACCAGTCTGGCCATTCTCCTCTGACCTCTGGCATCAACAAGGCATTTTCACCCAGAGAACTGCCGCTCACTGGATATTTTCTCTTTCTCTGACCATCCTCTGTAAACCCTAGAGATGGTTGTGTGTGAAAATCCCAGTAGATCAGCAGTTTCTGAAATACTCAGTCCAGCACCAACAACCATGCTACTTTCAAAGTCACTTAAATCACCTTTCTTCCCCATTCTGATGCTCAGTTTGAACTTCAGCAGGTCGTCTTGACCATGTCTACATGCCTAAATGCATTGAGTTGCTGTCACGTCACGTGATTGGCTGATGAACTATTTTTGTTAAGGAGCAGTTGAACAGGTGTACCTAATAAAGTGGCAGGTGGGTGTATGAATACAGACCGGTTTCAAAAAATGCTGTTCCCATCAGTCGTAAAACATGGGGAAATAGGGCCCTTGTTTAAAGAATACAGAACTTCCCATTTGACTAAAAATAGTCCCACATATTTTATTTTGGACTTTTGCTTATAGAGAGGACGAACAGCTGTTGATCTTCTTGAACCTTGTCTCTGTCAATGAGCTGCTGACACAGAATGTTCTGAAGCGTGTGATAAATAAAATATTAGGATATTTAGACTACACCAAAAGTACAAGATATTCCTTCTCTTGACTCACTTTTCATTGTCTTCAGTTACAGCTTGTATTGACTCCCTTTCTGTTGTCCTCTCACTCTGACCCATAGGAACCTGTCCTTCATCCAGGTCATCAACGTTGGCCGTCGTTTCTTGGTCAACAGGGTGCAGGACTACATCCAGAGTAAAATAGTGTACTACCTCATGAACATCCACGTACACTCCCACTCCATCTACCTCTGTCGACACGGAGAGAGCTTTCACAATGTGGAGGGACGCATCGGGGGGGACGCTGAGCTGTCAGAGAGAGGCAGAGAGGTGCTTTAACAAATCGTCTCATTCTTACATTTGTAAACTCAAAAAAGACAGCAGCATCTCCAAAAATATTAAAGGAACTGTTTGATGCTTTGAGAAATGCTGCAATTTGATACCACTCTCAAATCTGTCCTTTTAAATATGAAGCTGCAGCTTAGCTTAGCTTACTATAAAGACTGGACTTGTGTGTTAACTAGTGTTTCTAGTCTTTGTGCTAAGCTAAGCTGGCAGGCTAGCTTCATATTTAATGGACAGATATGAGAGTGGTGTCAATCGACTCATCTAACTGTGGGTAAGAAATCAAATAAACACATATGCCAAAACAGGATTCCTGTGGATCCTTAAAAAGTCTTAAAAGATATTGTGTGTATTAATCTAAAAATAAGGCCTTAATTTGTATTAAAATGTCTTAAATCAGTCTTTCAAACGTCTTCAAATTCCAAAGACATGGTCAGTAGTATTTTAGGAATTTTATTTTTTTTTTTTTTTGTTTTTCTGAACTTGCATTGTAAAATTTCAAAATAATTAGCAAAATCTTTATTTTATTTTATTTTATTATTTTTTTTAAAAGATTTTTTTCCCCCCGGTTAGTATTATAAAACTCTTTAAAGTCTTAAAACTAACTGGCCTTATGAAGTAGAAAACCTGCAAATGTTGAACTAGTCCTTTGATATAATGTCTGGTACAGCTAAACAAGCTTTTACAAGTAGAGATAATGTAAGTAAAAAAAAAACAAAAAACCTCAAGTAACAAATTGGAAACGCACATTTTCTAGCATAAATCCAGTTAAATTGTGTGAATGAAATCCTGCTGCTATAAATGAGCAGATTTCAGAGCCATCCTAGGATGACGTACTTGAGTTGATCCACTGCATAAATTCTGTTTTTGTATCCAGGTGTCCGTTCTCCAGCATAAACGTCTTTCATGTGTTCTTTTTCAGTTCTCAGCAGCTCTGAAGGGTTTTGTGGAAGAGCACCATCTGTCAGACCTGAAAGTTTGGACGAGCCAGCTGAGACGCACCATCCAGACAGCAGAGGAGCTGGGAGTTCCCTACGAGCAGTGGAAGATCCTCAATGAAATAGATGCTGTATGTCCTCTGATATGTAATCAAAGAAGACACACACATACGTTGTGAGGGGGTGTGTGTTTTGAGTGTTTTTATTACTTTGTGTTTCAGGGAGTGTGTGAAGAAATGACCTATGAAATGATTGAGGAAAAACACCCGGAGGAGTTTGCCATGAGGGACCAGGACAAGTACCATTACCGCTACCCTGGAGGAGAGGTAATGGCGTTTTTGTTTCTCTTATGAGGGGCTATTGTGCTTCTGGCTGTTGTGTTTTTTCAAATAATAAACTGGAGAATTATTATAGTGGCCGTTTCAACATACCAAAGTTGCTAGTCCACTTAGTCTGCAAGGTGCCTCAGTTTTGACTCGTGTACCTGTTCCTTTTGTGAAGATCACAGTACTCACATGTAGCAGGGGAAAAGTTGAACAAGGTTTATTAAGAAAAAAAAAAACACAGAATGGCATGAACCAACCTTGATGTTATGTACCTTTTGCTCCAGTCCTACCAGGACCTGGTTCAGCGGCTGGAGCCTGTCATCATGGAGCTGGAACGGCAGGGCAACGTGCTCGTCATCTGCCATCAGGCCGTCATGCGCTGCTTGCTGGCCTACTTCCTGGACAAGAGTGCAGGTAAACATAAACATGACACATGCTTAAACAAAGGCCTAGTTCACACACACTCCAATATTTTTGAAAATGTATTTTTTTCTCCTTTGTTCTCCAAAAAAAAAATCCCATCCACATGAGTACTGTTAAAAAAAAATTGTTAAAATGAACACAATTGAAGCGCTGTCAAGACCATGTCAAACCAACAGATGGCGATATAACCCTTAAGCCAATTCAATCAGAGGCCTAAAAAAAAGCTATTCCCAGAGGGCGACCTAAAACATTTACCTCAGCAGTGCATTCTGACGTCTCTGATCATCAGTATTGTGTGAGAGCAACTGTATGTTTATATGTCAACATGTAAGAAGACCTGTTAGAACTAGCACTATTTTGGTTAGGTCCACCATGTCCAAAATATCACCTCATTTGTGACGCCTCCAAAAGGAGATAATGACGCACACTCTGATGTCTCAAGCCACAAACTCTGTTTACCCCGCCTGCATGTCAACACTGCAGACACATGCTCTGAAAATGTTCATCCTGGAGTGAGTTTTACGAAAGCTCCATTTTCAGTAACGTAGACAAAAGGGCCAAAACACATAGGAAAAGGTGTATTTTAAAAACACCCGTGTACATGTGGAAAAGGCCAAAGCCTCACATTATGAAGACAGTTACAGTACAGTGTTGAGTCACTGCTAACAGCTGTTTTTATCATTATCTAAAACTTATATGATCATTTTACTCAAGCACTGATTTAACAAAACAGCTTTGCCCTTTGAAACCTGGAGCAACATCACTTTTCTAAGTATTTAATGAAGTAGTTCAGGGCCAGATATAGTTCCCCTGAGTCAGTGTCATATTGCTGCTAAACTAAATGTTCCTGTGAAGCTGTTGAAGACGCACTGGAGAGATATTCAGCAGCACCTGAAGACCTTAATGAGACAGAAAAGCATCGGCATTCATGATCAAAGCTTAATAAATATAAAATGCTCCGGTCCAGTCAGCTGCACAGAAAGACTCTTGGCAGAGTGCAGTTTTAAAGGGTGAGTGGTACTTCATGATGACGAAACAAGTTTAAAGGTCCTGTTTTGTTGGTGTGTCAAGAGCACATGCAGCATTACAACATTTAGGTATTTTTGAGGCCTTGAAATCTGCTCTTGCCGTACTCTTAGACTTGCGATAGTGAGAGTAGCAGGGCAATGAATTAGAGCTGCACCTAAATGAAGGGAGGTGTGTGCACAATTACAGTAGCACCAGGCTCCTGCAAAATAGTCACACAAACTTTGGCGCTTTTGTCAAATTAGTAACTTGTAATTTGGTATTTTAGAGGCATCATCAGGTGTCAGTGGGTGTTCTGTCAATGGTGGGTAGATACAATGAACAGGATAAACATTAAGTGACAGCAGAGGCATGGCTGTTAATGTTGTGGCCAAATTTGACTGTAAATAGTGAGGAAACCATTTTTGTATTTTAGCAAAAATGAACTGCAGTCTGACACGTTGTCTTCTTGATGTCACCACCAGAGGGCGCCAAAGTCAGGAATCTTCAAATGCACATACAACTCAAAGCACCTGGCTCGACCCCAGGAACTGTTTAACTACAGATAATCTTTGATTACAGATTAAATAAATTTTGAACTTTAACACACATGATAAAAGGAAGAAGCAGAGATGTATCATTCAGTTCAGACGCCACTCTTGCTTAAAGTCTGATGAGAGGTGATTCATTAACGTGTGACAGTAATCAGACACTGAATCATGACTTTGGACACACTGTACCAACTGTGCTGTATGTCGTAAGAATCTGTGTGATGCTCTGAAAGAGTCAGAAACACTGACTCTTCAAATTCTGCCAAAGTCAGTGGTAGATTATTTATTAATTTATGGACAAAACAGTTAGAATGCACACAAGAGCAACGACATAGAAAAGAAAAATACAAAAATGTTGAGAGTAACATAAAGTCTTTCTATTCCTATATTTTATTGACAGAACACACCTGTCTTATTACAATGGAAAACAAACATCCATATGCAAATGTAAAGTCAAATAAAAAAACAACAACATAGAACCCAAAATAAAAAAGATGCTGGGAATGACAGATTCTTCAATTACTGAATTAAAGGAAACCAGATTTTGTTCTGCCTTTTTAAGTGATCCATTAAAAGTGAATCTGTGTTTCTGGTTTGTGACGATTTCCTTGATCCATTGTATAAAAGATGGAGGGCAGGCAGCCTTCCACCTAATAAAGAGGCAAATGCTTTTGTATTGCATGACAAAAAGTTTGACTGGATCATAAATACTAATACCAGTAAAACTTATTAGCCCGGGCCATTATTTTCTTCAATCCTTGAACTCAACAGGTCTATATTTGGGACAGGCCTTTAATTCCTTTTACAAAAAAATATTGCCCCTCAAAGTTGGGAAATACAAAAAAAAAATGTTTATTTGAACCAGTATTAATATTTCTTGTATAAAAGTTAGGCTTCAAATAACATATTAATTACAAATCATTAATTTGATCTAGCTCTGACACAGAGAGTGAGTGTTATGTTGCTTGTTTCATGGCACTCGAGGATTACAGCACCCGGCGTACCGACACAATACCACTTTATGCTGCTAAAACAAAACTCACAACTTGGATTCATTTTCATGAAAAACCCTTTTGATTCTTTTTATCTGAGAACCCAGACGGACGGAGGAATATGAATAACTTACAGGGTAATCAAGGAATGGACACATATTCTGACTTCATGACAGCTCCTGAGGAAGGGAGTCACCACTTGTTATTTTGTCATGCTGGTAAATCCGAATGACTTATCCTGTTTGCACCAGTCCGGCTGTTGTGGTCTTTAATTCTTCTATAGTCACTTTTGAGATTTTTGTTGTCCAACATTGCTCGGCCACCTGGTGTAAGCTCTGGTCAGCCATTCGTTGACAAACGAGCTGGAGCACCTTCTCATTCCTAATGGCTCCGTCCAGTTCCCGCTGTATTTCCTCTTCTCTGATAATAGAGAGGAACGTCTGCACCTTGTTGACTGACCATGAAATGTTTTGCGCGCTGACATTTCGAGATAACAGTGTCTACAACAATCTGCAGCAACTGATGTGATGTTTAAAAATGGCGGGTTTCTGCTTTATGCTTTAAGTTCTTTGTCAAGCAAAAGTGACTGATGACAATTCTCTATTGACCAATCAACAGACTGCAGTGTTCACAGCTCCACCTTTTAGTACTAGATCTGTGTGCTAGGTACCCCAACAGAGGGGGGGACCAAAAATGGGGACGGTATGGAACTTTTCCATTGGTACCATCCACAACTTTTCACAGTGTAGAGGGAAACAGGGCTTTATGGTCCTTTCTGGTGCTCATGGTTTCAGTTAAATGAACTGAACGTTTGAATTGTGGAGAGTCTAACCAAGCTAACAATGTGTAGCATCTCCAGATTGACAAAAATTTAAACATTTAAATTTGTGTGCACGATCTTAATAGCTAAAAAATCTTAGCTTCTGTGGGTAGCCAACAACCTGGTTTTATACATCCAAAGAACTTCTATAAAAATGAACTGCTTGGCAACCAGACCAGGTGTCTAATTGAGACAGGTCTTTATTAATCAAAATGTGTAGCCACACCGGGCTAGTAAAAGGGACTGGGCGTTTAATTTAAGTTTTACAATGTGTCTTTTTTTTTGCCTTTGGAGAGTTGTGTAGTCTTTTTTAAAACCAAACTAGTTCGGCCCTTTTACGCAGCTGTTAGGGACTGTCAGATGTGTCAGTCAGATATGCTGTGAAGTAACGATAATGGAAATTATCTGGTCAGCAGTTGGGGACTACACATGATCACTGATTTATCCATTTTGCTGAGCCAGATGCCTATTTTATTTAAATGTTAAAAAAGAAAATGCAGCCATTTTGCAGGTGATCATTTGCAAGTTGCTTTAGAGTACCTCTTGGATTGATGTGCCGTCTTATAATTATGTTGTCAAAAGAGAGTAAACATACCATTAAAAAAATCCAAAACATACTTGTAAGTTTGGACAAAGTGAAAAATAATAAACCTGAATAATGACTGGGCGGTTAGAGTGGAAAACGCTGCTCAAAATCAAATCCATAATTAGATGTAAGCAGGCGGAGGTTTTCGTCAGTCAGCAGAGGAAGTGGTCACATATTCTCGACCACAGTTTGATGACTGCAGAGACCAAACAGTGTGGGTGCAGCTGGCATATCATGCCGCAGCACATCTGTATGGGACATACAGCACCACAGTCTTTACACAGCTTCATGTACTGTCCCAGACATGAGGGAAAAACACAAACATGACTGGAAACAACAACAGCTCAGAAGATCTAATGTTTTTGTATTTTTGTTGGCACAGATGATCTTCCCTACTTGAAGTGTCCCCTGCACACTGTCCTAAAGCTCACCCCTGTGGCATATGGTAAGTCTCTCTACTGTTTATGAGTCATACGAACGCCTTCCTCTGTTGGGGTGTGATGTATTTTTCTCCTGTCTCCTGTCTTCTTCTTCTTCCAGGTTGTAAAGTGGACATGTTTGACCTGAAGGTGAAGGCTGTCAACACTCACAGGAACAGACCTTTAGTAAGCTTTGACCTTTTATTTATGTCATAAACATGCTGTGAAATTTGTCTGAAGTCGTTGCCATCCACCCACAGTTCGGTGTGTGTCCAGTGCATGCAGCCTGGAGGATCAGTCTTTCCCTATGGTCATGACTGGACATGCTGCTCTGACCACGGCTATATTTAGGAATTCAAAGCCAAATTAAACACTACTGTTTCTGGTTCAGCTTCCAGGAGCCAGACATCTGGTCTTCTCTCTCATTCCTGCTGCTAGAGGCATAGAACTCTGTGCAGCTTCATGACTGAAAGTTATGCACAGAGAGAAATATGCAAACTCATTCTTTTAGTCAGATATATACTGACTGACTTTGCTCTGTTTTAAAAAGCTCTGTCTGTAAGGGGTTGGTAGGCGGATTTTGTTACCTTCAGACAGAACCAGGCGAGCCGTTTCCCCCTGTTTCCAGTCTTTATAACCAACTGCTGCACAAGGGCATTGTACAAAAAGGAAAACAGAAAGACAAGGTGACTACGTGAGCCACGTAGTTAAAAGTGTACAACTAGCAAAACTATTCGCACACAAAAAAGAAGATTTCACACTAGACAACAACAATACACAAGACATGAATAAAATACAGATCTGGTGCATATAAGTTACCTAAACGCCTGTCTAAACAGGTGCGTCTTTAGCTGGCTTTTAACAGAAATCACAGAGTAAGCCGACCGTAGGAAGCAGGCAGAGCATTCCAACATTCCAGCAAAACCTCAATCACCATGTGTCTTAAAGGAAGTGCGAGGTAAGGAGAAAAATGCACTGCATTCGATCAAAGAGTGCCAGCTGAAGAATACAGCTGAAGTAGTTCAGCCACTTAAGAGGGAGCGTGAACGTGTAATGCTCTGTGAGTACGAATGGGAAGTTTGAACTGGATCCTAAACTTGACAGGGAGCCAGTGAAGGGATCTTAGTGTAGGGGAAATATGAGAGCATCTGTTTGATCTAGTTAGTAGTCTGGCAGCAGCATTCTGGATTACTTGCAGTCAAGCAAGAGCAGACATACTCAGTGAGGAGAAAGGTGTGTTACAGTAGTCCGTGCGAGATGAGATAAAGGCATGTATAATCATTTCCAGTTCAGCAGTTGAAATATTTCTCAAATGGAAAAAACAAGGTTTGTTCAGGTGCTTCATGTGGGTATCGGATGTCGTTGACTGATCAGATATTACCCATAAATTCTGTAGGTTTGAGTGAGCAGCAGAGGAAAGAGGCCCAACACTTGATGACAGGAAAAACCTTTTCTGGAGCAACAATAAACTGCTACCATGTTACAAGGACTGTGATAAATACAAATGCAGCTTCCACTGTTCTGATTGTATTAAAGAAAGTGAACTTTTTGTGCCTCCACGCTGATAGCTGTGGCCACAGGCATGATGTTTTCAGGTTGTCCGTCCATATGTCCTCATGAATGCAATTTCACAAGAACACTTTGAGGGAATTTCTTCAAATTTGGCACAAACGTCCACTTGAACTCAAGGATGAACTGATTAGATTTTGGTGGTTGAAGGTCAAAGATTTCTGTGACCTCATAAAACATGCTTTTGACCATAACTCAAGAATTCACAAGTTAATTTTGACAAAGTTTCACACAAATGTCTATTAGGATTTAATGATGAAGTGATGACATTTTATATCCAAAAGGTCAAAGGTCAGCTTCACTGTGACATCATAATGATCTGTAAAAACACTTTTCTGGCCATTACTCAATGTCATATCTCAGGAACAGAAGAGGAGACATTTGGTCGGATACAGAGTACAAATACTTGTATTATGAAAAGTATTTGGCCTCTTTCCTCTGCTGCTCATTGAAACCTGCACAATGTATGGTTAATATTTAATCAATCAAAGACATTTGATACTGACGTGAAGCACCTGACTAAATCTTGTTTTTCCATTTGAAATATTAGTAAACTGAGATCTCTTGTTTCAACTGCAGAACTGGAAATGATTATACAAGCCTTTATCTCATTTCACACTGACTACTACAATGCACTTTTCTCAGCATCTATGTTTTCACAGACATAGATGTAAACTATCAGTACAACTTGATGGATTCACGGAGGCATAAACCCGCAAGACAGTAATTCTAGTTTTACTCAGATTTCATGCATATGGTGATGTGTTATGTATACTGTGACAGGTTTTCTAAAATGCACAGTGGTGCAGTGGTTAGCATTGTCACCTCACAGCAAGAGGGTTCCTGCTTCGTACCCTGGGTGGGGGAGCCCTTCTGTGTGGAGTTTGCATGTTCTCCCTGTGTCAGCGTGGGTTTTCTCCAGGTGCTCCAGCTTCCTCCCACAGTCCAAAGACATGCAGGTTAATTGGTGACTCTAAATTGCCCGTAGGTGTGAATGTGAATGGTTGTCTGTCTCTATGTGTCAGCCCTGTGATAGTCTGGTGACCTGTCCAGGGTGTACCCCAATGTCAGCTGGGATAGGCTCCAGCCCCCCGCGACCCCTGACAGGATAACTGGTTACAGACAGTATATTGAATTGTAACCCCTGTATCTTGATGCGTATCGTTTCACCAGATTCTTGCCAATACACAGCTGGAGACAGTAGTGAGATGACAGGAAATAAGGGAGAGATGCAAACCAGGTCCTTGTTGGACTTGAACTAGGGATCAAAGTCAGTGTAACCCCAAAGCTACAGGAGCGACAGTAAAAGATAAAATGAAGAGAACATGAAAACACAGGAAAATAAAATGATGTCTACTGTAAAAGATCATAGTAACATGGAAACATTTTCAAAATAGACTCTATAAATGTGCTTTTGCATTGGTATTGTCCAAACTGCTGTGTAAAAATGAAACATTAGTGAAACTGGGGAACAGCCTAAATCAATGTTTGTTATTCGTAGTTATTACTAATGTAATTATTATAAGAATCCATTTGCACCTGATCATATCACCCTCAGTTCTCTTTAGAAACCATCCGTTAGTGTTGAGGTATGTGTGAGGTGGAGTGTGCACATTTCACCACAAGATCTGTTTTCGCAGATACCAGCTTATGTGTGGGAAGTGGCATACTGTACTGTTGTTTGCATGGTGTTTGTGCACACTCATTGTTTATACATCTGGCCCTTGGACTTATCAATAACATTCCCCAACAGTGAGCTTCTACTCATCAACTGAGTGTTCATTAGTGAGCCCACTTGAGGTGCCACACAGAAAATGAATCTGTATTTAATCAGGGATTCCCACTGACACATACAATGCCTTTTGTCTTCATTTCCTAATCAGCCAACTCCATATCTGCTCCCTGGTTGTAGAGTTAGTGCTGTTGGGCGTTGAAACCAAGAGTCCTAGACGAGTGGGTGTTAACATATAAACACATTTACTGAGAAACCTCTTGTTAACTGGGCTGAGAAATATCCTGTGTGCAGAAACCAACATGACAATGGCCTTGATATTTATAGCTGTTTGTCTCAGTGGTTGTTTTTCCATCTTTGCTCTCACAGTCTCTCACACAGGACGTAGTGATTTCAGACCTTCAGCAGGAGAGGTTTAACTAGTAGAACATTAAAAAAACATGTGTTAATGACCCACCTTGTCTGCTCTTCTCTCACCAGAATAAAGTCAGAACAGATGTTGTGCATCCAGCTTTCCACCGAAGAAACAGCTTCACTCCATTGTCCAGCCAAGACCAGATTAAACGACCTCGTCTTTACAGCGTGGGAAACACTCCACAGGCTCACATGCCCCAGGCCCCACATTTACCCAGCATGCTGTTCTCTGACGTGTCGGAGAAGGCAGAGCTGCAGCAGAGCGAGGTCAGTGTCCTGAATGTTACTGGATATGAACTTTAGAGATGTTGTAAATGCAGAAATAAGTAAAAAGGATATTTTCTGACAACACGCATAATGATTGTACATCACTTAGTAGAAATGATAATAAATATATATATGATTTGAGCTTTATAGCCATCAGAAGATGGGTACACTGTGGTCATAAATGGATGGACACGCTCAGCAACAATACTCAGGTAGGCTGTGGTGTTTAAACCATGCTCAGTTGGTACTAAGGGGCCCAAAGTGTGCCAAGAAAATCTCCCCCACACCATTACACCACCACCAGCAGCCTGAACCCTTGATACAAGGCAGGATGGATCCATGCTTTCATGTTGTTTACACCAAATTCTGACACTACCATCTGAATGTGGCAGCAGAAATCCAGACTCATCAGACCAGGCAACATTCATGTAGCCTCAGTTTCCTGTTGTTAGCTGACAGGAGTGGCACCTGGTGTGGTCTTCCGCTGCTGTAGCCCATCTGCTTCAAGGTTGGACGTGTTGTTGGTTCAGAGATGGTCTTCTGCAGACCTTGGTTGTAACCAGTGGTTATTTGAGTTCCTGTTGCCTTTCTATCATCTTGAACCAGTCTGGCCATTCTCCTCTGACCTCTGGCATCAACAAGGCATTTTCACCCACAGAACTGCTGCTCACTGGATATTTTCTCTTTTTGGGACCATCCTCTGTAAACCCTAGAGATGGTTGTGTGTGAAAATCCCAGGAAATACTCATCGTGCCACTTGTTCAAAGTAACTTAAATCACCTTTCTTCCACATTCTGATGCTCAGTTTGAACTTCAGCAGGTCGTCTTCACCATGTCTACATGCCTAAATGCTTTGAGTTGCTGGCACATGATTTTCTGATTAGCTATTTGCGTTATTGAGCAGTTGAACAGGTGGGCCCCTTTCCTGCAGCACAGAGTAGGTGAATTTGAACATGTGTCATACCAAGGATACCTATTGGATCAAACGCACAATGAAATTTAACAGACCATTTTAGAACACTGGACACAGACTCATGCACTGAGTAACTGTTGGAGCTTTTTGACATGACAAACTATAAAGTGTCACAACTACTGTCAAGCTATCGATGACATCGATCGAGGTCCTCCCTCACATGATGCTGACTCTACTGTGGTGTGATGTCTGTCTTTGTTTTGATCTCGCTATGTTCAATAGATGACGCCTCTGTGTAATTAACAGACCCTATTATTTGATGCTTTTGTGTTACAATGTTTTGTTAATTGTGAATAAATTCTTTATATCAAATGGTAACTGCCTGAAAATAAGCATTATGCATTGCGATCCCTCCTCGAGTAATTCATGCAATAAATCGATCTTGAAAATGTTGCTGGTGTCCATCCCTAAACTGTATTGTCAATTGATGTATTCAGCTATATTTGACACCATAATCTTTTTCTTCTGTTTGGTTTCTGTATATTTACGTGTTATAACACAGATCAGGGCCTCGATACAAACTCCCTGAGATGTACAGTCAGGTCCATAATTATTTGGACAATGATACAGTTGTCGTCATTTTGGCTCTGTACACCACCACAATGGGTTTTAAATGAAACAATGAATACCTGCTTAAAGTGCAGACTCTCAGCTTTCATTTAAGGCTTTTTTCCAAAATGTAGTATGAACCGTGTAGGAATTACAACCATTTCTTCACACAGTCCCCCGACTTTAAGGGCTCATAAGTATTTGGACAAACTAACATAATCATCAATTAAACAGTCAGTTTTAATACTTGGTTGCAAATCCTTTACAGTCAATGACTGCCTGAAGTGTTGGACACATAGGCATCATCAGATGCTGGGTTTCTTCCCTGGTGATGCTCTGCCAGCCCTTTACTGCAGCCGTCTGCACTTCCTGCTTGTGTTTTGGGTGTTTTGCCCTCAGTTTTGGCTTCAGCAAGAGAAACGCATGCTCAGTTGGATTCAGGTCAGATGATATGACTTGGCCATTGCAGAACATTCCACTTCTTTGCCTTAAAAATGTCTTTGGTTGCTTTTGCAGTATGCTTCAGGTCAATGTCCATCTGCACTGTGAAGCATTGTCCAATGAGTTTTGAAGCATTTGGTTGAATCTGAGTAGATAATGTAGCCCCAAACACTTCAGAATTCATCCTGATGCTCTTCTCAGCAGTCACATCATCAATAAATACAAGAGAACCAGTTCCACTGGCAGCCATACATGGCCATGACATAACAGTACCTCCACCATGCTTCACTGATGAGGTGGTGTGCTTTGGATCATGAGCAGTTCCTTCCCTTCTTCCTTCTCTTGTCTTCCCATCATTCTGGTAGTTGATCTTTGTTTTATCTGTCCATAGTATGCTGTTCCACAACTGTACAGGCTTTTTAGATGGTTTTTGACAAACTCTAATCTGGCCTTCCATTTTTAAGGCTAACCAATGGTTTGCATCTTGTGATAAACCCTCTGTATTTATTCTAGTGAAGTCTTGTCTTGCTTACAAGAGCAGCAGGATGAAAGCTGAAGTGTTTGGGGCTACATTATCTGCTCAGATTCAACCAAATGCTTCAAAACTCATTGGACGATGCTTCACAGTGCAGTTGGACATTGACCTGAAGCATATTGCAAAAGCAACCAAAGACATTTTTAAGGCAAAGAAGTGTAATGTTCTGCAATGGCCAAGTCATATCATCTGACCTGAATCCAACTGAGCATGCGTTTCTCTTGCTGAAGCCAAAACTGAGGGCAAAACACCCAAAACACAAGCAGGAAGTGCAGACGGCTGCAGTAAAGGGCTGGCAGAGCATCACCAGGGAAGAAACCCAGCATCTGGTGATGTCTATGTGTCCAACACTTCAGGCAGTCATTGACTGTAAAGGATTTGCAACCAAGTATTAAAACTGACTGTTTAATTGATGATTATGTTAGTTTGTCCAAATACTTATGAGCCCTTAAAGTCGGGGGACTGTGTGAAGAAATGGTTGTCATTCCTACATGGTTCATACTACATTTTGGAAAAAAGCCTTAAATGAAAGCTGAGAGTCTGCACTTTAAGTAGGTATTCATTGTTTCATTTAAAACCCATTGTGGTGGTGTACAGAGCCAAAATGACAACAACTGTATCATTGTCCAAATAATTATGGACCTGACTGTAGTTTCATGTTTTACAGTATGTAGCTGTGTAGGACAAACAGAAGTGTCCTTCACAAGCTCAGTGGATGTGATTTCTGTTGGTGCTGTTACACACAAAATGTCTCCCTTAAATTTTCTGTAGTTAAAAATGTTATAGGGACAGAAGGGGAGTTATTCACTCAGGTTCAGTCAGTGCCAATCAAAACAAACGCCTCATTCCTCTTTTGGTTTGATGTTTTTCCTAATGCCGTCTCCCCTCTCCCTACATCCTGCAGGACTCTATCAACGGCTTCAGCGCAGCAGACCCAGACGAATGTGTTCAGGATTGAAGAAGCACATAAAGAGGTATTTTCAGCCTGTTCCTCTTGTCTTACATGTGACACATCTGTGATCTCCACCTCAAATGTCTCACACGTGTTGCTTTGGTCATTTATCTCAGGCTTTTCTCCACATGGATGTATCACCAGTTCTGAGGACCAGCAGTAAAATCCCCACCAGCATCAGTCATTACATTCTCAAGCACTGTATTACACACAGTATGTGTGTGTAGCAGAATGTGTGTTATCTGTTCAGTGTTTGTTGGATAGGTTATGTGCGTGTTAGTGAGTGCACATACATACTCAATGCCTTTGCACAGTAGCCTTCAAATCTAAGCTGTGATCTGGCTTGGATGTATAAAAATGTAGAGCTTTGTAGTACGTTAATACTCTGAAAACCCGTCCGTTAGTTTTTAGCACACTCCACACACTGTCGTCTACAGTCGTATTATGCTGTATTGAAACATGCTGATTGTGAATTGTATACCTCAATGGAAGTGACTGCTTTTAGTTTCAGTGTAAGGGAGTGCCTCTCTTGAAGGAAACCATGTACAGCCTTAGCTTCTCAGATTCTGTCTTTAAAGGGAACCTATTATTATTCTTTTCTTTATTTTCTGTCACATGTATAATGTCAGGGTGTCAGAGTTCATGTTCAACGTGGCCAAAGTTTCCGACAATGAGGTAAATGTATGTAAACATAATCTCTGTGAGTAAAAACCTCAGGCTTCAGACTGTTCTGAATTCTGTTTTCAACGTTTTTTCCCGCTTCTGAGACAAGATGGCGTCAGCTTGTGGTGGGTTTCTGTATTTGGTCGTCTGCTCCAGACACGCTACTAAGTGTTTGCATTGTTTGATTTAATAACGTAGCCTACACTGCTACATGTAGCTACATGCTAACATCAGGGAGACATCATCATCGATGGTCTCAGGAAAATAAAGTGTTTTTAACATTAAAGTTTCAACCTAAAAAATAAAAATTAATAGGTCCCCTTTAAGTTACTTATTTAAATATTCCTTTTCTCATGTGGTTTGATAAGATGTAGTGATAATTTTATTTTGAAGTGTAATTTAAGGCATAATAAGCTTTCAGTGGGCAGACACAAGTTAAAAGAAAAAACAAAATGTTTCGTCTGGCCCCTATAAAAACAACTGTACTTCTTTTCCTCTTCTCTTCAGTGATGCCTACCTGTGTGTTCTGCCTTCTCCTCAAATAACAGCTTTAATATATTCAGCTGTCTACTGTGAGTGATGATGTAGCACTGAAACTGAATCCACAGAAGTGATGCAAATATTTCCAATACAAAGTGCTCCTGAGTTTTAATGCATTTAAGTTTCTTTGTACAGAAAAGCAAATCATTTGTGCACCCCTAATGCATTATTCTGATGAAAATACACTGTATGTTATTTACCGGCTTCATAGCAACCATATGGACGACACTGATTCATGTGACTTTGATTTTGCTATCAGCAGTAAATCAATATTTGGAAGAAGTGCCTCTGTTCAAAGGACAACGAGACTGTGACAGTTGTAATCAAAAGTATTTAAATAAATGTTATGCAAAGGTATGTTGAAGGATTGGCGATGTGTTTCGATGTCTTAAAAAAAAGCTTGGATGTTATTGCACACTGTGCCATACATGTTTCATTTAATAAATTTGATTTAAACGCAGTTTTTACGTTGACTTTTGCTTTTTTCCCAGAGTGTTTAAAAGTGCAGTGTTTAGGATTTATGGGCAGATATGGAATATAATATTCATAGATGTTTTCATCAGTTTCTGATCATGTCAAACTAAGAATCGTTGTGGTTTTGTTGCCTTGGAATGAGCCGTATACATACGGAGTGGGTCCTTGTCTACAGAGTTTGCCATGTTATTTCTACTGTAGCCCAGAGTGGACAAATCAAACACTGGCTCTAGATAGGGCCATCTGCTTTATGCGTTGGCCATTGTAGGCCTCCTACGAACTTGGTTCATGGGAGAAGTTTGAGCTCTGCAACCTCACCGCTAGATGCCACTAAATCCCACACACCAGACCTTTAAGTGTGCACTATATTTATAATATTTTCACCACTTTATCTTGCCGACAGACAGCCCTTTTTGACGGGGAACTGAACTGCAACATCTATGCTCTCTTCAAAGCCAGACTCCATTCACAAAAACAGTAGTTTTACCTCACTGAACACAGGAGCTGCTGGTCTACCACTGCCTCCATCGGTTAGTTTGTATGCACATTTACCAAACAAGCTAACCAGTCAAGGTAGCAGTACACCAGTGTTCAGTGAAGTACAGCTACTGTTTTTATCAATTGAGTCTGGCTTTGAAGAGAGCATAGATAAGTTCCAGTTTTAGTTCAGCTACCCATCAGAAAGGGCGATATGATTGTTAGGTTAAGTAGTAAAAATATTTTAAACATGGCGTACACTTAATCTGTTAATGATTTGTTTAGGTGGGACATTTTTATTTCATCTGAAAATAAAAATCATGTGTTTTTCTTATCTAAGAAGAGCCCAGTTTCACTCTGAAGTCGTCGAAATTTGGCACTTGAGCGGTGACTTGCAGTGTCCGAAACAAAAGAACAAGCTGTCCTTAATGTCGGCTTGATATGTGTCTGGTTGCTGTTATAGTTTAACGGCGCCCTACGGCATCAGGGGAAACATGGCGGGACAAGGACAAATGTTAAGGTGGTGGAAGTCCGACTGAGGCGGGTGGGCGGGAGGGGTGGTGGATGGGTCCAACAAACACTGGCTTTCACCCGAGAGAGTGGTGTTCACGTCCTGTGAGATTATAAAGCCAAACCCTGTTCTTTTTTCCTAAACCTAACCACATGCTTTTGTCGTTGAAGGAAAACAAACGTCAATTTGAGGTGTTGTAGTGCGTTTATTTTGAAAGAGACTGAATGTAAACGTGAAATTTCCTTTGAAAATTTCCTGTGTATTTTGAAAGAAGACAATGCATGTAACAGGCAGAACTTGACATGGCGTCCCAGAACGTCAACAGCCAACACACCCAGGGTACCTCGCATGTCATATGTGGACGTGGAAAGTCCATGACCAAACGTCAATCTGTGACGAGGTCAGAGTGAGAATGTGTTGCTTAGAATGAGCCATTTATATCTACATACAGAGTGGGTCCTCTTTCAAGGAGTCAGCCATGTTGTTTCTACAGTAGCCCAGCACGGACAAACCAAACACTGGCTCTAGATAGGGTCATTCACCAGGTTTTCGCACCGGTCATTGTTGTAGTTGTCACCCTTGGCGCATGGGAGAAGTTTCAACCTCACCACTGGATGCCAGTAAATCCTACACACTAAATGTTTGAGGTTATTTTGGCTGAGCCTGTTAGTTTGGTGAAGAAATTGTGTGTGTGTGTGTGTGTGTGTGTGTGTGTGTGTGTGAGCTCACTGGGAGTTGCCTTCCTGTTTGCTAAATTTCATGTCCCTGAAGAGTCGGACACACCAGCATCACCACAGCTCAAAGAACAGAGTGAATTCTATATTCGTAAATTAGATGTTTGTGGTCAGACTGACTTCAGTTAAACATTATTATGTGTTACATCATGAGTGTGTAATATTTAATGCTCTTTTTAAGTGGATGACACAGAAATTGTACCGCCACTATTTTTTGGAACCAAACAAATGATGCAGCCTCTCACAGCCCTCTCCGTTAGTAAAGAAAATAAGATGCTGTCATTACTGAGTCTCTACTGAGCTCTTCACAAAACACAGACACATAATGCCCCATGGGACCTGTTAAATTCTGAAGCAGGAGTTATTATTTTTGCTCTGTTTACTGAGTGTTTAAAACCATGTAACGTTCTTTAATTGAAAGTGATTTGGTTTTATAGGCAGCGGAGTGAGTCATCTGGGAAACAAACTGAGGAGGAGAGGCTCAAATTATGAGTTGTATGTCAGAGAATTTAATCTGCGAGTTGATTTGACGCCAGAAATGGTCCTTGAATGAGAGGATTCAGATAAAAAGCTCTGATTAAATTCCACGCTGATTACAGATATTAAATAAAAAACAGGCCACTGAAGTTCTAAAGAAAGGGACTTGCGTTTCGGTAGTCATTATTACTTGTTTTAGGAGGAAAAATACATACTAAAACAATATGTGTAACACACAACAGAGTATCCAAACTAAACAACTCAACTCAGCTTACAGATCAGATCTGTAAAAGGAAGAGATTCGGGAATTACACACTATAAACAGAAATGAAAAACAAATGACGAGACATTACATTAAGCGCTTACAAGAATAATTGAAATATCCAATTTAATATAAGACATAAAAGGCTCCATGTTCTACGGAACACATCATATTTTGAGTGCAGGATACATGTCCAAAATAATCCAAAGAAATATATTCAAGTATGCCACTGTGCTTTAGTTGTAATTATGTCTGATATCCAGAAGTATATTTTAGACAGGTGTGATGTGGGAATCAGGCCTGTGCTGCTCAGAGTTGATCTCATCATCAACATCTGTTCTGTGAAGCACACATATAAGTAGCAAGGACTGAAACATCTGCTGCTGTTTTTATCACTTTTTATCATTATTTTTTGCACTCTTCTTATGTTTCGAATAAACCAACATTTTCTGACATTGATCTCAGCCTGTGAATCTTTTTTAGTGGCTGTCCAGCTCAGTTGAATTGGTGTGCGGGTATTTCTTCTGCCATCCTCTCTCGATTGTCTTTTGTACCACCCAAGATTAACTTTATTTGTTGCCCTAAGTGGGCGCAGTTTCACAGCAGCCTTAAGACTCCTATAACATCCCAAAACTTCTGTACATCCCGACGAGACCACGGGCAGTGGGTGAGACTACCTGTCTCTATTTGCACCTGAGGCACAGAGGGGAGAGGTCTGTATTAAAGATTTGGTGTTGGGAAGGGGATATATGAGCTCTGTGTAAAACCTTGAGTTGTATAGCTTTTATTCTGTTACAAACAGCTAGTCCATACCCGCTGGTAGCTTTGTCACCTTCTACCTATGCCAATCCTCAATGCCTATGTGCAGTTTCACATAGATTGACCACGTCAGTGAGTAGAAAAACGTGGGACAGACAGAATGACACACTGACAGTTTCCATGATTATGTACAGCATACCATACCATGACTTAGTCACACCAAAAATTAGAAGGAAAAAAAACACAGGGGCAGCCACAGCGATCGGTCGCATTTTAGCCATTTTTAAGCATTTTTCTGTTGTTATAGCGCCACCCAGTTGCCAATTAGAGTTACATTTCTACAGTCACCTTGAGGCGTCCTGTTCTACATATCTACAAAGATAACAAATTAGCTCTCTAGTGCCCCCATTTTGTTTGATGGGGTCAATAATGGGGGGGTCCCCTCAGATTATTAGTGGTCATATGCCTACAAAGTTGCATGGTGATGGGTGAAACCCTTGAGATGTTATACACCTTTATGTGATGAGCCACGCCCGGCGCAATATTCATTGCCTTATAGAAGCTCAGTTTTAGTAAGTTTTCCAACTTTTGCCAAGAGGGCACTTTAGATATTGATTATGTTCACCAAGTTTCATGCAGATCGGTCAAACTTCCTAGGAAGAGATCGATTTTAAGTGTTTTCAAAAAATTCAAAATGGCGGAAAATCTATAGCACTGGAGGTTATGGGTTCTTGAGGCAAATTTGTTCTTCATGAGGAGAGGCATCTCTGTGCAAAGTTTCATGTCTCTACAACTTTCGGGGTATGAGATATGCCCATTCCAAGTTTGCAATTTCAATCGGTTGCTATAGCGCCCCCCTTTGGCCAATTGATGTAATAGTGCTTCATTCGCATCCTCCCATGACCCTCAACCACTGTGCCAAATTTCACATGGATTGACCAAGTCAGTGAGGAGAAAAACTTGGAACAGACACACACACAGACAGAGTTTTCGTCATTGTATAGTTAGAGACTAATGTTTTTGCACATTCGTAGGCATCATCCCATTTACCATCTGTAATATTTATGTTGAGCTCCTTTTCCTACATTTTCTTCAAGTGTCGGGTGCCTTCAGTATCATGCCCTGTGCAACTCAGTGCTTAATCTGCACTTCTTTTCAAATGAAACTACTGTGCTTTTTACTCAGCTGCCTGCATTCCTCTGATGGCTGCACAGTTACCAGATACTTTGTCAAGTCAGATTTTTACATTTAAAATGTGGAGTGCTCAGAAAACACTGCTTCACTTTTTAAAATGGCCTCTTGTCACAGCCTGCATTCGTCTGAGTAACGACCAACCAAAGATTATCCTTAGAGGGAGGAGTTTTTAGAGGCTGGAGCAGATAAAACTATGCAAAATATTTTTAAGAAAAGGGAGGAAGAGAGAAAACTTGATCATGTCATGAGCTTTTAGATTTATCTTATAACCATTAAGGGGCTCCTGATCCCCAGGTTGGGAAGTACCACAGATGAAGCAGCTACGATAAAAAACACTGTTTACATGTAATGCATCCATAATTTAATGCTCTGAAAGGCACCATTATTTCCAATACTTTAATACTTAAAAAGCTGCTAATGAAGAACTTTTACTTGTAATGGTTATTTTTAGAGTGCAGTGTTATCTCAAGTGAAGGAGCTGACTGCTGCTGGGCGTACAATCACAGTCACAGTCACAGAAACTCAAAATACTGACAAAGCTCTGCTGTGACTGTGCAGGAACCACTCCAGGAAATCCAGACTGGATTTTTTTGTGTGCTGTAAAAATAACCAGAGATACAGAGGCTGAAGACTGTGACTGGGTCAAGAGTCTCACACAGTCCAATGAGTGAAATGAAAGACAAGTTTAAAACAAGACGGCAGATATACAGTTACATTTTAAATTATAGTTTGTGACAAGAAGACTGAAATGTTTCGTTTTTGTTGAAACTGTGGTGTTTATTTAACTGTATGATCATTTACAGAGGCTTCAGTTTGTTGTGCTGTTGAACTGCATTTATATTCAATATTCAGTACCTAATAGATCTTAATTAGGTGGACAACATTTTAGAAAAAGCTCTCAGTATAATGCAGTACAATCAATGATGTTCATTAGATTAGGTTTACCCAACTTGCATTCCAGTGCTCATTCACTGCTGAATCAACGTCACACACCATGACTGATTCACTGCTGAATTATGTTCTGATTTTGAAAGATGGATCAGCGTTGATTTTGCAATTCTGTTTCATAAAGTTTAAACCTTGTTTCAAAATTGTTTTAATGTTGAAACAGATCTTTCTGAAATTTTAAATGCTGGTTTATGAGAATTCTATTAACCCTTTTACAACCATCAGAATTAACCCTTCGCTAAGTCCCGCTCCTCAAATGCAGACTGGCCAGTCATAGCATAGCATCAGCCAGCTCCGACACACACAGCTGTGCTCCATTGATTCAGAATTCCTTCATTTTCAGGCTGGTTTTGTGGATTTGGAGCTAAATGTTGTGCCTGGGGCACGTCGTGTATTAATGATACTCGTTACCTGGAGAGGTTGGAAAAAGATATAGGGTAAGTTCAGGGTGAGTGGGACAGTTTTCGGTTTTCTGCATTGTGTGAGATTTCTGGCTATGGATATCAAAAAATAATCCAACATATGATACATTTCTGTAATGCTGAAGATGTTACCTATCCATTTGAGGAGGAAAGAAGATCTGATTATGTTCCATGGATGCATGGCATACCCTTTTTTGTGAACTGACTAAAATTTGTTTTTGTGTGTGAGATTTGGGTGAGTGGGACAACACATCTGATCACTGATTTAGCCTTTTACCTTTATTGAACATGCCTAAAAACACAAATTCATGGATACATGTATCTGAATTCAGGTCAAAATTTCATAGAACATGGTAAATTATAAAAACATATGTCTGAAAACAACAATGTAACAAAAGTACAACATTTTTTCAGGTCAAAATTTCATTTAACACGTTACTCTGTGAAAACAAATGCCAACAAACAAAAACAAATCAGTCTGGGTACAGGCAATCCCTGCAGGTGAAGGTGTCTGAACTTAATTAATCAATTCAATGTGTGTGTGTGTGTGTGTGTCCCTCTATACATCCTATCATCACCAATAGGCTTGAAGAGTTGGGGACAATCTGCAAATTAGATCCTGGGAAATAATCTGTTATCATGCATTCCTAGTAGGCTGGGTACACTTGCTGTTTATGCTAGCTGTTTTGCTAGCTAGGTAGTCAGGCTAGCAGTAAAATTGTGGTGCTCCACCAACAATTGTGTGGTAGATTTTGGGTCTGCACACACAAGAAGGTTAGGAACTATTAATGTGGAACATATATAATGATTCCCTATGGCAGGATTGATCATTTTTATTCATTAAGAGTGCCTTTTGGTGCTGTCCCACCCAGCCAAACACAGTTTGGGTGGGTGGGACAAAACAAAAATAGCCTAATTCCATAAATGTAAACATAATCTTAACATTTTTTTCTGATTTTATTGTAGAAGTGCATCAAATTCATGTTTCCAGCAAATATTTCTGCAATATCTTGGTGAAAACATTTTTATAACCTTATGATCATAACAATCAAAATCTTATGCCATTTTCCTCACCTTGAGTTATGCAGGGTCAACTTCCTGATTGATGTTGGCCCCGCCCCCACATGTGACATCACACCAATGAGTGTAAGCAACTCTGATAATGTGGTTTCACAGCAAGGCTCAGCAAAAAAAAGTTTTTATTTTCAATGACCAGGGGAGAAAATACAACCAATTTACTTATACTGTCCCACCCAACCTGATGTCCCACTCATCCTGAATTAACCCTACGTTTCTTCGCTGTTCCAAAACCAAAATCAAACCCTGAAAAGTGTAGGGTTAGCTAGCTAGCTACTGAAGATATAGCCTACTGAATGTATACACATGCTGCTTTTGCTTTTTAATGATTACAACAGTGAATAAAGACCGACCCTGCTGTACAGGAACCAGTGAAGTGATGCCACACAGCTGGTTCAATATCAGTGAAGTTTCCCTTTATATTCATTGTGTTCTGTGGCGATCAGCAGTGATGTGGTGGTTCACTTTGACACTGTGATCTGTAGCCTTTAGTTCGGCTTTAGCTTCTAACCATCTTTGTCTTTTTAACCTGTTGTTGCTGCTGAGTCAGTTTGACATCCTGGATATATCCTTCAAACACAGACTGTAGACCCCTCTGTCTGCTTCTCTCTGGAATCACTCTTTCATTTTTCCAAAAATATGATAATATCTCTTCAGGGAGTGCAGTTAGTTACAGTGTGGGCTCCATGCTTACTGTGACAGCTTGTGGGACCATCACAAAGGGGCGGGGCTTAGCGAAAGGTCAATTTCAACCACATTTGAAAGTTGTCAGTCATGTGCCAGCTGGAAAGACATACAGGGCCAAATTAGCATTCTTATATTTGAGGAATCCTTTTGTCTACTTGGCTATTATCAGTTAAGATGTAGTTTGTTCCTTTAATTTAAAAAAAGTGAAGGTCATTCACATTTCTAGTATCTTTTTTTTAATTATTATTATTTATTCATATTTGTAAAAGACTTTTTCTCCCCTCTGGTTGAAAAATGTTCACTTTCACAGCACTACTGATTTTTTTCTGTTGAATCTCACATGTATTTCCAAAGTCTTGAAGAAAGGCTTTCATCTTTCTGAGTCTAACGTGGTGATGATGGACTCTTAAAATCATGTGAAGGTTTGGGACGTGTCTGCACCCAACATATGCTTGTTATGCCTCGTTAAGGATCAACTTTAAATGTTTTGCCCTTAAAGTTTTTCATGCAGATCACTAGATTACAACCATGGCTTCTGTTTGAAAGACGGTTTGCTTTGTGATATTATAATGTTCACAAGACTGAAGAGTGCGAGCACGTCAGGATAACACTTCACAAAACATCCAAATCAGTAAAGAACAAAATGATAAATGATAATTATGTAGTTATCTGTTATCCAGATTCAGCTTTCACAACTAAAGCTGGTTCTAAATGCTGATAAAACTAAGGCTACACATTTCTCAAATGCAAGGAAGACGCCTGTGAATACTCCTGACGTGATTACTGCACTGCGTGTAAGCGTGTACTAAGAGAGTGTCACTTGATACAAATATCTCAGTATTTGTCTTGATGACTCCCTGTCTTTTAAACCTCAGGTTGATAATCTTCATATAAAGCTGAGGCTGAAGTTAGTATTTTTTTTCAGAAACAAATCCTGTTTCTCCTTTAAGGCCAGAAAAAGACTGGTTGCTGCTGCGTTTTTATCAGTTCTGGATTATGGTGATTTGTCTGTACATTGTTTGCACATTAGATCCTGCATATCATAGTGCACTGAGATTTGTTACAGTAAAATGATAATAATATAAATAATAAAATGAATCACAAAACTTATTTCACCCCTGTTCAACTGCACAGGATGGATGTTTCTGACTGCAAATAAGATAAGGGTTCTTTTTATCACATGGTGCAGACCTGTCCTGAGATTGGCTCCACTGTTCACCGTGACCCAACATTGTGTCTTTTAAATTATACTGTTAAAGTTAACTGGTCAAAACACGAGTAAGATAATAATAATGTTCTCAATAAATCCAATTGTGTTCTTCTATCTCTTTCTTGAATGCTGAATGCGTGAATGCTGTGCACTACGTTTGGTCCCTGTCTCCTTGTTTTCCTGTGGGCTGTGCCACCCCTCCTGTATAAATTGCCTGATGGGAGCCTGCTGGTGACATTTGATTTGCAATCTGTGTTTGAGGATTTGTTTACTGCGTGGATCCACACGGACAAACACGATGGACGTCGGGTGGAATATTCTGGTTTTATCGTTTGCTCTCCTCGCCTCAGGTAAAATAAAGAAAACGCCACATGTTGCAGAATGTGATAGTTTTTTTATATTGTTGATATTTTAACTGTTGATTTTCCAAATTATAGCTCAGGTACCAAAGAAGTGTTCGGCACCTCCGGAGTACCCTCACACCAGGCTGGTGAGGAAATACAGCACCATACCGAGGTTCAGCAGCGGGGAGAAGGTTTATTATGACTGCGCTGAGGACTTCACTCCATCCAGAGGGAGCCGAGCTGTGCAGTGTCTGGCAGGAAGATGGACCAAACTCACTCTCAAGTGCGAAAGTAAGGACTCAGTATAACTTATTGATTATCCATTTTGGTAATGAAAGGACTAAAAAAACGATTAAATGTTGGTCTTCGTTAGAGATGAGTGATTTCATTGAGTTACTCTCAGCTGTATGCGATTTTAAATTGATTTAAAGTACACATCAGAAGAAGGCTGAAGCCCCCTAACGGCCATGGAGGGAAGCTGCATGTTATTCCAGCACAATAATTGAGGTCACTAAAATTCAAAGAGTGCCACTAAAACTTTTTTTAAAAAGTCTAAATGCCTGCCGAGATGATTTAGAATATAAAAAGAGGAGACACTTAGTTATTTATGCAACTTTTTATTTAGGTGTACCTAAAGTTTCATTCAGTTAAATTTTATTTATAAAGTTCAATATCACAAATCACAGTTTGCCTCGGGGGCTTTACAGCATACGACATCCCTCTGGAGGAGGGATCCCTCACAGCGGATAAGGAAAAACTCCCCCAGAAAAACATTTAACGGGGAAAAAATGGTAGAAACCTCAGGAAGAGCAACTGAGGAGGGATCCCTCTTCCAAGGATGGACAGACGTGCAATAGATGTCGTACAGAACAGATCAACATGATAAATGTACAGTGATCCATATGACAAAATGATACATAAATAGAGGGAGAGACAGAGAGAGATACGCAGCAAACGGTAATGACAATAGCTACAATAATATTAATTTTAGAAATAATATTGTAATAATAATAGTATTTTGGTAGTATAAATGTTATGGTATATTAATATATGATGGTATATGTACGAGACATCATTACAGTGATCCTGCAGTAACAATCCAAAGTACATGTTATTTAACGACTCAGACCAGAAACAGAATTCTCTGCCTTCTATCCCAGGCCTAGCAAAGACATTCAGCCACAAAAAAAGGTTCCTTTTCTGAAACAAAACTTTATTTTTTCATGATCACCCAGCCATAACAAATCAACTTAGAGGTTATTTTACTGAAACGTACGTTCCTTTATGTCTTCATATACAGGACAGTAAGACAAGAAATGAACCTCATTCTCAACGTCACCTAAATAACACGACAAACTAATTCTATTCTCCTCTGGGTGGTGTTAAACCTTCCAGTCTCTAAGACTAATGGTAACGTTCCTGAGTGCAACTGTGCACACAGGGATCTTTGTCTTTTGTTTAGATTATTCTTCATGTAAGGTTCCACACTGTAAGTTCATAGTTTTGGTTTATACCAATTATCAACAGATAATTTTTCTCCAAACATGCAAAACATTTCACTCATAATCTCCTGAATATCAGTAAGTAACCTGTTCTGAAGTTGTGCAAATAAAATAATGATTTCAACAGCCCAGGGATGACATATGTGTATAATAATAGTACAGGTATGACTAATAATATTAGCAGAAGTAGTAGACATTAGGCAGGACCACGGCAGCAGCACAACCATGATCCAGGTGTAGCATACATTAGATTAAAGGATAGATTCACATTGTTTTCAGACTGAAATCATAACTCATGCACTCATGGGATTCATTAGTTGTAGGCTTCAGTGCAAAGAGACTTCAACACTATTGAGTCAAAAGGAAAAAAAGTTTTCCTTCTTGAAAGTTTGCAGACCTCAACGCAGGTGGTCACCAACAAAGTTTGACGTTGATATTAAGTTGATTTTATGTTGTGACATCGGGTGACCAAAATTTAATGTCAGAACTTGTAACGCCAGCGTCAAATTGATGTAGGATACTGACAACTGATGAAGTTGATATTTAAGTTGTTGTGTTAAGTAACCAGTGTAGAATAATGACATTTAGACTGGTTGTAAGGTACAGAGAACAAAACTTAATGTCTGCAAACTTCATTATGTCAACACCTTCACAACAAGAAATGGTAATATCACTAGACATTTAAATTATCGTCACACCAATTTTCATTTCAATCAAAATGTAATGTCTGTCTGACGTTATGTTGACGTCCGGTGCCAGCTGCGAGGCTGAGAAGCACCTGATTCAGCTGCATACTGCTGGAAGATGCACCTTTTCCCACTACTATGTACACAGACTAGTACATTGAACGAACCACTGGTGGCTGTAGTTGTTCCCCTGTTCATACCTGCTATGTAGAGACCATCCTTTGAACCTTAACTATGAGATAACATCTACATTTTAGAGTGTAAGACGCAAACAGAAACAAGTCTTAAAGGTTCTTGAAACTGGCTATCATACTTTATTTTCATCTTTTCCAACTAATTTTGTGGTGTTTGCTGCTGTTGATCAGTATCTGATGTCTGTCAACAGGTTTAGTTTTATTTCTTCATGTCATAAAGTGCAAGCACGCTTCATTTTCTAGACCTGCTGGTGCTGTTAGGTGTAAAAAAAAAAAATAAGGAAGTGTGCTTCTTATTATCAATGGGAGATGTCACATTATTAAATTAGGAGGTAGACTGTTGAAATTTCATGTCTGTCTTGTTTCTTTTTACTTAAAACACAACGAAATAAATGTTCTGATTTATCTTCATGTTATCATACATAATGTTTGATAAAGCCTGTAACTGTAGCTGGTTGATTTTCATCACCAGTAGACTATTGTCTGACCTTATTACCCCTGTTATAATTTAAACTACTTGTGAAAACACTCTTGTGAAGCTCATCTCTGTAGACTCCAGTACAAACTAATGCATAAAATATTTTGATCTCATAATAAATGAGACAAAACAGTGTGAAAGCCTCTGCGACTGTTCAGGGTCAGACAGATCTGTGTGGAGCTGAAAATCGTTTAGTGTTAAACTCAAGAACATTTAAGCAGACCAGTTTGCTGTCAGAGTCTTCAACCTGAGGCTTCTACGTTATTGTTCTTCATAATTAACTTCACACATTTCAGTGTTTTCAGAGAACGCTTTCGACACCTCTCAGGTCTTTGTGAGGTTGGCACACAGGCTTTGCAGCAGCTTATGTGGGTTGTTTTGCAACTCTTTGGAACAAAGGTGCTTCTGTCTTGTTTTTATTTTCATCAGGTAAATATGACTTCACCTTTGATCCCTGTTGTGATTGGGTATTTAATCTTGCTCTCATTTCTTACAGAGAAATCATGTGGCAATGCCGGAGATTTACCTAATGGGGAGTTCCAGTATGAAGGGAATTCATTCGTCGGGGAGAAAGTTTATGCTGTATGCAATGAGGGGTGAGTTGAAGCCTGACAGAAGTCCTGTAAAACTTGGTCACAAGAATCATCTGAAGTTGAGTCTGACTGTGTGGTTCATTTCCATGTCGACAGGTACACTCTGAAAGGACTCAACTACATGATCTGCAAGAAGTCTGGCTGGACTGGTGAAATCCCATCTTGTGTTGGTGAGCAACAGCACATCAGATCTCTCTGAAACCCTTTTGTATTCTTTACACACTGAGGTCTCTGCACCTGAAAAGGTGACCTAAAGTGGGTGGTGTGTCAAGAATGAGTAACTGATGTGACGCACAGTGAAGGCTTGTTGTTTGATCCCTTAATTCACTTGAACATATTTTCCATAATACTAATAGAGTTGTGAAATTAAGGTTAGATTGAGTGCAGGTACTGTGACAATGAAATGCAGTTTACTATCTAATGCTGTGTGTGTGGCAGGTATAAATAAAAATATATGTAGCAGGTACAGATAAAAAACAAAACAACCATCATGGTATAAATGAAAATATATATGTGTACAAAAACATATCCTTAAAGCATAGCAGGAGTGTGAATTGTAGATACTGTGTTCATTAGACAGACAACATTTTCACAAGTATTTAATTTTAATCTCATCAGAGGGAGAGGCCACCACCTGCCCCACTCCTGCAGTGGCCAACTCTGTGAGCAGTGCTGGAGATGTTTCTGTATTCTGGGTGGGAGACAGCGTGACCTTCACCTGCAGTCAGGGTTTCCAGCTGGATGGAGCTCAGCAGATTACTTGTGACCCGGGTGGCCTGTGGAAGCCTCAGCCCCCTCGGTGCCTGCCTTCACCTAAAACAACTCCGTCACCCGTCAAAGAGAGTGAGTTGGTATCCTTCTGGATTGTCAGCTCTCTAGTTTTTGGCAGCACCTCAAACTGTCATCTGTTTATTATAAGAGGTGGTAAAATATTTTTGTCTCTAAACTGACACTTTCCTCTCTGGAAAATCTGTTCAGCAGGTGGCTGCGGTGTGCCAGTAAACATCCCCAACTCCAACGCCAACCTCGCCAACAAGTACATCACAATGACATCTTTTGCTTCTGGAGACAGAGTCCATTATGTGTGTGATGTCGGATACGTTCAAGCAGGCGGCAGCAGATATCGCAGCTGTATGAATGGGAAGTGGACACCACTGTGGCTGAGATGTGAACGTAAGATCAGTCTTTTTTATTTAAATTTAAACTGACATTTTTTATGACATTTTTGTGACAAACTCTACTGTGACACTTTTTTATGATATTTTTAGGTCATACTATGCTATGACATTTTTTGACATTTTATGAAACACCATACTATGATTACTACTATTTTTGTGACAAACTTTAGTGTGACAGTGACATTTTGATCTCACACCGTACTGACATTTTTTATGACATTTGTGACACTTTCTTGGACATTTTTGTGACGTACTAAACTATGACATTTTTTCATTTTTGTGACATAGTATACTATGACATTTTTTGATATTTAATGACATACTATGCCATGAATTTGACATTTTTATGACACAACATAATATGACATTTTTTATGACATTTTTTTGATAGACTTTACTTTGACACTTTTATGACATTTTTGAGACATACTATGCTCTGACATTTTTTTTCTAGATATTTTTGTCATACTATACTATGAACTTTTTTGACATTTTTATGACAAACAATACTGCAATTTTTTTGCAACATTTTTATGTCCTACTATACTATGACAGTTTTTGACATTCCTTTGTTATACTATACTAGGGAAGTTTTTATGACACTTTTTTAGGACATTTTTATGACATTCTATACTATGACCTTTTTTTTGGTTTACATTTTTGTGACATATTATACTATGACATTTTTTGACATTTTTTGTGACATACTATACTGTGACATTTTTTGACATTTTTATGTCATATTATACTATGAAATTTTTTTTACATTTTTATGACGTACTATACTATGACTTTTTTTTTTTTACATTTTTATGACATACTATACTATGACATTTTTTGACATTTTT